GGAATCGATCTAGGCACCGACCACTGAATAACGACAATATACTGTACTTCATACCCTGATGGGTCGCGGCTTCCTCTGAGCGGCAACAAAGCAAGCTCACTCGCGCTCCATGTCGCCAAGCGCCAGTGTGCAGGAGCGCCAAAACGCTTGCGCGAAGATCGCGATCTGACAGCTTCGAACTTCGTGTTACTGAATTATTTCTTTTAGACCAATGCGGGTGTTGCATTTGACCAAAAATCAGCCAATGCGGTTGCCCAAAGGAAGTGTTAGAGCGATTTTAGACCAATGCGCGTGCGGTATTTCACCCACCACCTAATTGGTACTCCCCACGTAGGTTACGTGGGCAAAATTGAAACCTCTGTCAGAGCTCCGTGTCCGAACCGAAACCGAGATATTCTGTCGACGACGTATGATTGGTTAAAACAAAATCGGCGGTGACCAATCCAAGGGGAGCCTGGTGTCGGCCAATGGCCTTTCAGAAGCGAGTACGAGCGGTGCAGCATGAATCGGTACGCGATCGGCGCCAAGCTCGGCGAGGGCACGTACGGTAACGTGTACGCGGCCGTGCACAAGGTGTCGGGCGCCCACGTGGCCATCAAGGAGTTCAAGCGAGGCAAGTTCAAGGACGGCGTCAACTTTACGGCCGTACGCGAAGTCAAGCTCCAGACAGAGCTGCGCCACCCCAACGTGACGCGGCTCCTCGATGCATTCGTGCACAACGACACGGTCAACGTCGTCTTCGAGATTCTGCCCAAGAATCTCGACGATGTCATCAAGGACAAGAGCATCGTGCTCTCGCGCGGTGACGTCAAGGCCTACATGCAGATGCTTCTGCGGGGTGTCGCCCACCTGCATGCTCACTGGATCCTTCACCGCGATCTCAAGCCCGAAAACTTGCTCATCGGCGGCGACGGCCAAATCAAGCTGGCCGATTTTGGTCTCGCGCGCATGTACGGAAGCCCGAACCGCAATATGACGTCCGAGGTCTGCACGATCTGGTACCGCCCGCCCGAGCTGCTCTTTGGCGCACGCGAGTACAGTGGTGCGGTCGACGTTTGGGGCGTCGGCTGCATCTTTGCCGAGCTCTTATTGCGAACACCGTTCCTCACCGGCATGACGGAGCTGGATCAGCTCGGTCGCATCTTCCATGCGCTCGGGACTCCGACAGAAGAGTCGTGGCCAGGGATGACAGCGCTGCCCAACTACATTGAGTTCACGCCGAGCAAGGCGCCGCCACTTGCGTCACTCTTCACAGCTGCGTCCGAAGACGCGCTCGACCTCCTCCGGCAGCTCCTCCTCTTCAACCCTTCGGAGCGCATCACGGCCGCGGCTGCCCTCGAACACGTGTACTTCAAGTCTGCACCCGAGCCGACGCCGCCCGAGAAGCTTCCGTACTCGCAAGCCACTGCGCCGGACGCATAATACGCTTCAATACATGGCGCACACGGCTACGCGTCTAGCTCTATTCACTTTGTTGTCGATTGATGGGCGACAACACGTCGAGAGTGCCTGAAGCTGCGCAGCGACATCTCCGAGTATGTGCATCGATGGCAAAGCAGAGACGCACATTGATTCTTGATACTGGCTTGGAGCGAGGTTTATTAAAGACCATGGGAATCTTAAACTCGCCGATCGGTGCTGACGAGAGACGAAACGTAGCCGTTGAAATCGAGCTGCGCCATGAGCTCGCGGGCGTTCGTCTGGTTGAGAACTGTGAAGAGCAGGCGGCAGTGGTCACGAAAGGTCGGAAGGAGGTCACTTGGCGCCTGCACAAAGCGCCCGACGGTCTCGAGCACCCGGTCGAGCGCCGCCATGACGGCCGTAGCGTGCACAAAACACTTTTTCCCGACGCCAGCGACGAAGCTCGCATGGGCGCGCTGGACAACATCAAAGTCGGTTGTCGCCGAGATCGTCGCCAGCAGCGTCTCAAACGAGGCTTCGACGACCGATACGTGAAAGTAGAGGAGCAAGTGGTGCAATACAAACGTCATCTCGTGTCGCGCAAGGCAGTCGCGGTGCACACCCGCAACATTGAGGTGGTTGAGCGCGTAGAGCAACCGCTTGAGGCGGAAGAGGACGCGGAAGACGTCGGCGTAGCTCCTCAGAAGCGACGATGGAAAAGCAGCTGTCGGTAGCGCAGTGCAGGTGACGGCGTCAGCATAAGCGTCACATTGCGCCACGGGTCGGCCACGGGGGCGGTCGCAAAGCTCCAGTGATGTACTTGCACGCCAGGGGAAAGACCGAGACCAAGAACGACGGGTGACGCCTCCTTGCGTCGGGGGAGCGGGATCTCAAAAACCGGGCCGACGTCGCGGACGCAAAGAAGCATGCCTGGCTCGCCTCGAGTCGGGAGGCACAGCGTGAATGCGACATCGAGGGTCCAAATACCCGACATCGGAAGCTCGATGCTTTCTGGAGATCGAAACAGTGGTGCTGCATTGCTGCCGCCCTTCGTGTCGAGTACCCTCAGAGTCGCGGCAGTCGTCGTCATCGATGCTCGAGTGACCGTCGTTTCAAGCACAAGCTCGACAGCAAGTGTCGGTACAGCCCCCGACAGTACAAGCCCCGACGTCGGTGTCCAGCTTGGCGGTGCCACTTCGCTCGGTGCATCCGTTTCGGCAATGAGAACGCAAAAGCCCTGAACGACCGAAGCCACTGGCGACGCGATCGAGAACGTCGCAGAGATGGACGCGGCACCGCCCTGGACGTACTGGACATGGGGCCAGTAGCCGACGCCGTACGCTGGACCAGAGCACTCGAGGCTGCCCGTGTCGCTCGTCACACCCTCCGAAACGAGTCCAGCGAACGTCCGCGTGTCAAAGTTCTGCACGGGTACCTTGAGCGCGATCACGTACTTGTCTGCGTCATCGTCGTCGTCCGTGCGCATCGACGTGTCGTACTGCCGGAGAAGCGGGGCCCACACGCCGTGGTGCAGGTCCGTCTCGGACCGCGCGTGCGGCGGCGAGCGCATGATCGGGTCCATCGCCTCGAGAAGCGCGTTGAAGAGCGCGCCGTCGCCGCATAGAAAGAACGCCTTCATGCGGTGCAGGGCGGGCACAAACTTGGCCGAAGCGAGCACGTGCATGTAGAGCTCGCTCGCGACCTTGGCCCGAAGCGCGCCAACGCTAGACGCGAAGGCGAACGAGTCCCATACATCGGGCGGCGTCTGGAGCAGGTGCGCAATATCGGCCTGAAGGGCCAGCGCCGAAACCATGGAGGTCTCCCGCACGGTGCGCATCGCGTTGCCAACGAAGAGGACGTCCTCGCAGATGGTCGCTGGCCAGTAGCGCAGCGGCGCGCGGGCTAGCGCGAGCACAAAGCTGCCGGCGTCAGCCACGACGAAGAACTCGTCGTACGGATCCACAAGGCTCGCGCCGGAAACCATCCACGCGAGCATTTGGCGAAAGAGAACGCGGTGCAAAGCCGTGAGCAGGCGCCGCGCCACTCGTTGAAGGCTCGGTATGCCTTGCGTCTCGTGCGCCTTGATAAGTTCGAGGACGTCTTTGCCTCGCAGCGTTCGCACTTGTTGGATAATGCGCAAGAGGAACGGGAATGTGTCGAGTTCGGTCGCGAGCTCGACTTGCAAGAACGCCAGCGGCAGTGTGCGCGTGCTTGCCTTCGAGAGAACGACAGCCTCGAGCTCCGTGACGTGGCGCTCGTACTCTCGGAGGACCGTGCCGATTGCGTGCTGCAACGCGTGGCGATACAGGCTGTGGCTGGCCGCGACCGCGGGCACCGGTGCGAGTGGCGCCGCAAAGGCCAAGATGTGCTTGTACGCGTGGCCCACGCGTAGCACCTGGAGCAGTATCGCGCGGTCCGCGACTGAGAGCAGCGACGGGCAGTAGTTGGCGTCGATGAGGAAGCCGTCGCCGGACGGGTCCTCGACGACGACTTCGCCCGTGACGCCGAGGAGCGCGAGGAACACCTCGTGGTGCATCTTGGATTCGGCAAAATTTGTTTTAGGGGACCCGGGTGGGGGTCCCTCCAAATCCGAGACAATCGGACGCAGGGTCTGGGCGTTCATGGAGAAATATGGCCAGCACCGCCCCAAGCCAACCTTGCAGCGGTCTCGGTCCCATGTCTTTGACCTTTTCTGAGCCTCTGCTCCGGCTATGACGCTGCAGAACATGTTGCCTCTAACGAGCAAGGCGTATATAGCAAGGTTGGCCAGTTTAATGCAAGACTAGTTCGTCAGACGATTTCACTAGGCGGGCGGGCGTTGGGCCGCGCCGGCGCACTCCCGAAGGCCATACCACCAAGTGTCGAGAGGATCGTCGAGCCTGTGGACGACTGCAGCGCTTCGAGTGCACCCGAGGCCATCATCGATTTCATCTTGTTCTTGGCATCTGCGCTTGCTGTGTCAGAGATGCATGGTTGCTCATGAGAGAACGTACCCTTGCTGCACTTGGTGTAGCCGACAATGTTGGCCATCGAGAGCATGAGTGCCACGATTGCAATAAGAGCCCACTCAAGATTGAATTTGAGCACGGCGATGAGCAGGAAAAGCACCCAGACGCAGGGCGCGCCGTAGAGGCCAGTCCAAAAGACCTTGGCGTCAAGAGGGTCGAGCTCTGTCATGTCCTCGTGCGACTCGAAGATCCACTCGCTCGTACCATCTTCGTTAACGCGGTTCCACCACCGCAGACCGACGAGGAGTCGGCCCGAGACATTCTACGCAGAAGGGATGAGATCGCCCGATGGCATGCAGTGTACCTTGACGGTCCAAAAGTCAAACGCCAGCAGCAGGATGCAGATGACGAAGACGAAGACAAAGCTGTTCGAGAAGAGGCCGCCAAAGAGATAGGCGAGGAGCGCCAGCGCCTTGAATAGCACGTGGAAAACAGCGGCGACGGGGTGCTTGGCCTGGCGGACGCTAGCCGTGACGCTGCCCAGCCTAGCGCTTTGATGACGCAAAGGCGACCGAGATGCTCCTTACAGCGTGGCAGAGGCCTGGGGAGACGCTGGTGCTGACGACGACACGGTGGCTGCGCGGGACCGGGGCGACGAGACCGCCGGCTCGTCAACCTCGATGAACTCGAGCGCCTTGCTCTTGTCGCCACTGCTCATGCTGGAAAATGTTCAGCGTCCGGATACCGTGAATTGGGTTTAACGCGTTTCGAAAAACGCACTTCAATAACCCATTGGAGTTCGCACAATGGCAACTCGAGCGCGTCAATGGCTGCTACTACAATTTGTATTGACGTTATTGACCACTTCGTAAAGGAGAAGACGTATTTGTACCTAAAAAGCAGAAGTACCTGTAGCATAGGTTCTTCGTGGCGACTGGTTTCGAGCCCATACATATCGTGCCCTTACCGATCCCAACATTAAGAGAGCCCGGGTAAGGGAAAACCCATACCCGAGGGCACCTTTCGTATCCGCGCACTGATGTGTACACTGGCATCGATGGCAGGTGTTTTGGCTATGAGCACCGTACGATACCTATTTCCGCGTTGCGTTTTACGACTTTAACCTCGACGTCTTCTCGGCAAGCAACGGTCACTTTCATTTCTCGGGACGAAAGATGTCACATGGGGCGCTTTCGCCGCTGCCGCCGACGTACGACGAGACGCTAGCCGTAGGAGCATGACGGCGCCATGGCCCATAGCTCACGAAGCGGTGCGTAGGAGTGTCGGAAGGGCGTACCGGATTCTCTGCGCCCAGCGGTGTGGTACTTCCTTTGCACGTCGGAGCGCGAGCAATCGCCAGCCAAGATCGAAGCCACGTACGCCGCCGCGACAAAAGATATCTTCGGGCCGACCCTGCCAGCATCGATTGCTGCCGTAGGCCTATCCTGGCCGTTCGATGGCTAACATATCGCAGGCGCCGATGTTTGGCAAGCCGACCTCGTCACACGTCACGTTGGAGCTGGTCCCGGCGTTGGCCGTCGCCCACCGCCGGCTTTCCATAGTACTGCGGCGACTCCATGGCGTGGATCATTGTGCGACGCCCTCTTCCACGCGCTCTAATGTAGCGAGTAGGCCGTGTACTGCCAGAACTCATGCGCTTGTGTCTTCTCGTCGACATCTCGGAAGCTCAAGTATATTGCATGATGCGGGTAGGGCTCTATGACCTGTATGCACGTGCATGGACATGCTTGATGCACTTGCGTGTAGAGCTTGTTGCAACGCAGTCGCCCCAAGGATGAGTGGAAGCTCCCGACGTCGCCGGCCCACGAGCTGGCAGTTATCGGTCATCTAAAGGACACCGTGGCGTGGCGGTACCCACTGCTCGCGACCGCGATGCAACGCCAAGGAGCCTGGGATGACTCGTACTTTGCCGACACGATCCACAGCTTCCTCGTCCCATATGTTCCACTGGCAGTAGGACAATGTTGACATATGTGTAGACTCATTCAAAGGTAGGTCGCTCTCCGGATTGTTGATGCCTACCTCGGGGAAGGGCCAAAGGTGCGCTTGCGCCTCGGTGACTCGTGTGATCGATTCGTGCATAGATCCACTGCCGCTTTCTCATGGCTCTGCTGAAGCTCCACAAAGCTCCCATGGCGGCCGAGATGACGGCCACAGGCGCGTACGTCGACCCAATCCATTTGATCGCATCCCACGGACGAGCTGCGTAGCGCATGGTGGGCGCTCCTGGCTACGCGCACTCGGGCGTGCTCGATGGCGGAAATTTGTACCGTCGCCTATCGAAAGTGGTACGGGTACCTCTTTCGACGTCAGAACTTTGAGTTGCGACTCGCGTCAACGCCGACGGCGTACGTGGATGTATCGACGATCGACGAGTATGGGAGTCCGCTGCCTCTTGTCGTCGATAAGTCGGCGCCACCGATGCTGCTTGACGCAACACGTGACTCTATCCTCTTGACGTGGCTGCCTGCGACCGAACAGTTGAAGCAGCTGCAACGCTGCTACTGCGCAATCCAGCAAGGTCGGGGCCTTGACACGTTGTATCGCTACTGTGCCAACATCGCGCCGCTTATTGTGGTGCTGCAAGTTCTCGGCTGTGATCGTGTCATCATAGCGTACCTCTCGCACGGCGTCGGGCCGCGGGACCAGCTCTTCGGCGACAAGAGTTGCTTCGTGGGTTCGCTTGCGCCGGCTGTCAAGTACGCGGCCACTGGAACGCGCGCCAAGTTTGTCATGTGCCAGCCGTCGCTCCTTGCCATCGGAATCGACAGCAAAAGCAGCGCCGCAGCACTAGAGATCGATGATGGTCTTGTGCGTGGCCGAAGTCAGGCCACGGATGTCTTTGGCAACCCACCCCTCGGCGGCACGGAAGAATTCGACGTCGGCGACATTGAAGCGTACAAGTTTGTTCTCTAGTGACCTCCTTGTTGACCCGACAATAAATGACACATTTGGGGATAAAATTACTCCTGAGTGTTTTTGTTGAGTTTCGAGTGGGCATGCATAAATGGTTTCTGTTTTCTGGTACTTCGATGGAAAACTGGGCAAATGGGCACTCGAACTGCAGGGCGGAAGGAGTTTTAGGTGTCGAGTTTCTCGACAGCTAGGAACCCCTCGACTACGAGACATCTCAACTTACGGTACCACGTAGTCGAGGTGCCGGAGGCGTAAATTAGCTGCATAGATAGGAGGCGTAGGATGTTCCGAAAAGATGAACTCTAACCTTCTCACAACCGCGTGCCTGCTTCAGCTACTATATCGCCAGTTCACGTCATATTGCATTGTCGAGCCGACGTCTCGGTTCTACCCTGCCTCGGACGGAGTAATGCGTCCTGGGCGGACTAGCGACCGGCGCCTGCAATTAAAGGCACCTCCGGCTGCTCCGTTGCTCGCCTTCGACAAACGCTCGCTGTACCAGCGCTTGATAGGCTGTAAAGCGTTTGCAATCGCTCTAGCGTGGCCGTCAAGGGCTAGCTCTGCTAGCGTGGACCATTTCTGTTTGCTTGTTGTCCTATTCTCAAGAGCAAGAAGATGCATGTACACCATCCTTCAAAGCACCAGACTCACACCGACAGGAGGCGAAGGTGACTTGGCCACACTGCGCGCCCGCCGGCGCAATTGTGGCACGCTTAGGTAAATGGATTTTCGGTGTACTGGGTAACTGGACTTCGCCGGATACGTGACCCTTTTCGTTTAGGTATACGGGGGCTAGAGCAGTGAGTGACACTTGGGCCACACTCGTTTTGGGGGAAGTAGTTACTGTAGTTTACTCGTACTTCCATTGACGCTGTGTTGTACTAGCAGTGCTGCTCCAGGGTTTTGCGCACGCCTTAGAGTCCAGAGCGGACACCTTAGTAGCGGAGTAAACCCACGATTACTCTTCGTCATCTTAAACAGCGTCGTCGTGCCGGTTGCTTTCATTATTCGCTAGGGTGAGCCCTGTGGCCCCACGGCCATACTATCGCGACGCGTTTGTTGGATGGACACCATGCAAGCAGATGGTTTGACACATAGCTCTTACCAGAGACGCCTTCGCCGCACAGAAAAATGGCATCTTCGTTGGCTTGGAGGCACGTCGAGCTCGCGGCATACAGCATCGAAGACAGCGTGTTGGTGTAGGTTGGCGGAAGCAATGCCCTGTAGAGCTTTCCAGTAGGACCTTACGATCGTAGGTCTATCGCGTAGGATCCACGGCGTCAGCTTCCAGGACTATGCAATAGGCACCAAGCTGGGGCAGAGTCGGAAACGCATTGAGCGAGAAGTCCTAACTGTGTGAGCGCAAGAGCTCGTCGATGTCCCATAATGCACGAGCCAATGGTGAGCGAGGGTCGCCGTCAGGGTGCAGCGCCATCGCATAGTCCTCGAAGAATCGCAGAGTGCTTGTGTACACTCGTCCACAGCGCAAGTGGGGTAGAGGGGCTGACGACGACGACCAACAGCGTGGCAAAGAGGTCACGAAGCTGACGTGACATATGGCTCAACGATGCGTCAAGGAAGCAACGGCGCCACTCGTCACCCGATGCGAGTAGCCTGGGAGCTTGACACGCTTCCTTAAAAATGACGTGGAGGTGGCCATCAACAGAACGGAGATCCGCGTACGACATTGTACCACGACAATGACACGGAAGCGTTCGAACGTAATACAGCTCGCCATTCTTTGGGGGAACGCTGTACATTCTGTCGAGAGCACGATTTCCTGAACGTTTGTGGGGTAGCCACAAGCCGCTGTCAGCCGTGAGCCAAGTGGAGTGGCGACAGATCTTGCTGTAAAGGCGCGTTCTCGGAGACCACGCCGTCGTCGTCGGGGGTTTCGGCGAGACACACAGCGAAAAATACCATGAGTCGTACGTTGGCCACTGAAAATACGCGCCCGTGCCATAGATAGTATCAGCCACAAAACGCACGACTTGCTTGCCCTTCACGTGGGCAGCAAGCCGTTCGAAGCTGTACAAAGAGCGCATGGATTTGACGTCCATGATGTGTAGTGCAGCCTCTTCAAGAGGCTGCACGACATCGCGGTCCAAGAGGGCCTCTTGGACCGCGATGTCGTGCCCCGGCTAATACTGCTTCACCTTATTGATGACGTCACCAATGGGTACGCAATGCGATCGTGACCCTCCTGCATATACTTGAGAGGGTTCTTGATCAACGCAAAGCTTTAGCACACCTCGACGTGGTTGTGACACTTGTACTCGAGAAGCAAGGTCGGGTCGCACGGGACAATGTTTCGGTTGCTCACAGACGAGCATGAGCAAGATGTGTGCGAGAGGCTAACAGCGCTTTGGAAATTCGACTCCCGAACATAGGTCGTCAATAGCAAAATGCATATCGTTATGATATCATCATCAATGCAGAATCGTTTTCTAAACAAAGATGCGAGATACGATGTCAAAACGATTCGTCGATGACGTCTTGCAGCCAAAATCATGTCGCTGCTCCTCGAGCACTCCTGAATTGCAGACTTCTATAAATTTCCAAATTGCATTGCACTCGACCGTGATAATAAGGTCGAGCTTGCCGTACTTGCTGCGCACATAAATCATCACATCATATTTGCGTTGTAGTCGCTTGCAACGAATGACGATGGAAGACTGCTTCAAATGCCAAAAAAGCCCAGCGCGTGGAAACACGCACATCAATCGCGTCAGCGCAACTATGGTGCGAGTCGTAACGCAAATTCGATCCGTTGGATTCATGGTATCGAGGTTACGCTCTTGGGGCAGGTTTGCAGCCGCGTCAGCTTTGGCTCCGGACTGTCCAAGCCTTCAAGAAGTGTGTACCAAGATTCTATACTCTACGCAGAGCGCGTGCGCACATGCAGTACGCAAACATTGGTGCGCGTAGCGCACAATTTAGCCCAATCGTGCAGGCTCTGCAGGATAATGTTTTACCAAGGACTGCTTTGTGAATATTTTTGTTCGAAATTGTGAGCAGTGGGACCACAACGGATTTACGTTAGACTGTGCGAGCAGATCTATATTATATTTTCGAGGCACAGATGGCTCGTGTCGAAAATCGCTGACTGCTGTGCAGATTCAGGCGTGAGCTCTAACTCTAGGATATTAGCCTTTCATTTGCTGCTTCTATGTTGCCGTGTAGTAAGCGTCATCTTTGTACATTGCATGTGTGATGTACTGCGTTATACGATCGCGTTCTGTCCTGTGTGCCATAGTATTGTTGTCTTTCAGGCCACGAATCTTTTAGAAGTTTGTTTGCTGGCGGCGCACCACGAGCTAGCGAAGTATTTTTTCCTTTAGAAGATGAGCGTAACCGGATTCGTGAGTGACCACAGTGGGGTGGGTAAAAATTGCTAGAGCTATACGGGACGTATACTCTCCTTGCACAGCCTTTTATCTTCAGCAAAATACTGGCAACGCCTTCTAAATAGGTATCGGTGGTTGGAGGCATGTATATAGCAATCACTACATCGGAGATGCATTGACACGGTTGATGATTTCAAGCTCTTGTCAGTAGTTTGCAGTCCTCTGGTCTAACAAAGAAGTAACTGGCATAACTGTGCTATCAAAGATTGCAAGAGTAGTCTTTGGTTATTTTCTCTGCCACTACAGTTTCAGCGCTGGACGCGAAAGAGCGTGCGAAACTCCGTAGCCGATAAACAAGGATGCACCTGTCTGAAACTACAATGTTATCACATGTGCTAGAATGATCAATTACCATGATATTCACAGCGAAACAAGTGTGGCCGTGAGACCACAGGGCAAAACATTTTTTATTATTCATAGGCAACTGTAACCACCAAGCTCTATAAAGTGGAGAGAAAATGTTTTGGGTTCTCTCTGCCCCTGAAGTTTTTCGCCGGAGGCACGGGGATATGCAAAACTGAAAACTTAGTAGCAACAGACAAGGCAGCTGTAGCCTGACACTTCAATGCTATGGCAGGTTCGAGCTTGCTACTACCCATCTATTCCGCCCCTAGTCGAGTGTCGTCTTGAGGTTTGATCGTAGGACTACACTCATTCCAATGATGTGCTCCTTTGCAATACCAACGAAGCGCGAACATTGGAAACAAACGTATAGAAAGGTGTCTGTAAGGTCACAGTGCCCTATGATGCAAATATAGCCTGGTTATAACTTTGGTTTGCGGGTCCTACTGAAAGATTCGATGCGACGACAGCAACCGCGTCATGCCTTCTTATTTCTCAACGTCAAAAGCTATGTCAAAAGATATACTGTGCAAAAAATGTTTGTAGCATGCGAGACGACACTAACCCGCGTTCCTTCAGATATCAAGCTCAGACTGACAACAGCAGTCAGCGCTTTCGTGCATGCTTTGTAGGGCTGTTGTGGGTGGATTTCCGGACGTTGCTGGATCACAAATGGGTAAGGCAATTATCGTGTATATCGATTTAGGTTTTTTGGCTACATGGTGTCATCTTGACCGCGAAGCGGCTAGACAAGCGGAGCGAGTCAACGTATTTGAGCGAAGCTCGTGCCGCGTAGCGGCAATAATGACAGCAGCGAGGTCGTGTTTCAGGGCCTATATCTATGGCGCCCGCAAGCGTAGTAAACTAGCTTTTCGTGGCTTGAGATATACTACTGGTCGATCACCATGCTTATCGGGTTACTCATTTCGTAATATAACCCTCTGGACAAAACTAATTGTACAGGGCTGCTCCCTACAGGCAGCTCTGTACATAGGTAGCTAACGATTCCTGTCCAATGTTGCCGTTTAGTCTCTTCCTTCCACTGTCAGGCGGTGTATTACCGAGATTACCACTCTAAAGGTTTTTCTATGTGGTCCAACGTCAAGCTACTTCATCTATCAGCGGCGTTTGCTTGGCGACCGACGCGAAATGTCGGGTGGTCTGATGTTAATAAGGTTGAATGCTCGTGGTACCGACACTGGTCCAGATTATTTTGTTTTGGCGTCTTGATCGGTTGTCGTCCATCAGAGTGTATATTTCTGGGTACTGGGTATGTTGACTTGTTTTATTCTGATGGCGTGAAGCTGGGCGGTTGGCTGGATAAATTGATTCTCGTTTTTGCGGCGTGGCACGCTGGATATGTTTCCTCTGCTTGTGTTGATGCCTTGGGTTTCGGGGTCCGATGATATGAAACATGCTGCTAATAATCAATGGCTGATGGCGTTTGCGGCAGCTGGCTGTTTCGCGCTCTGAGCTTGATGTCAATGTTGGATCTGTGTTGGTTCTGATGTTGGCTGTGGTCTCCTGACAGTTCTTCCTGTTATTGGCTGGCTGGAGCATGTCGCCGACTCCCTCAATACGTCGTCTTTTGCAGCGTAGCAATAAGTTTCTCATTGCTCAGCGTCGCTTGGTCTAATGGCGCGGCTCGCAGCAGGCAAAGGTGTCGACCGACGAGGTTTCTGCCGCGGCCTAGATGACCGACGGCCACTAGTCGGTTGGCTTAGCTTGCGTAACGGTTGGAAAAGCGCAGAACCGTTTCCTCTGTATATGTAGCTTGCATGTATACCAGTTGTATCTGCCAGCAGTTAGGCTACGCTGAAGACTAGTGTGCAAAGTGCACACTGCTGCTGGTCCACATTTCTTGGATTGTACCGTGTTAGTCGACATTTGCGCTATTTACCTACGTAGGCATTATCTCATTCTTCCTACTTCCTCGCGGTGTCCACTTCCGCATGGCTACCATCTACTGCACACTCTTTTTACAGTTAGTGATATCTACCCAACGCACTGCAGGTTCATAACGCACAAAATCGTCGCACAGCATCACCTCTTGCATGCCTTTGGAGTTCTTAGATAGATCCTTATCAAGAGTGCAGCGCTTTGATTGGGCAATTCTCAACACGACAGACCCAAGAAGCATCTGTGGTAGGCAATTTTGGAGTACGAGCATACTATCAGATAACTACTTCCCTGAACAATTGCGCCAACAAAATAGTGTGGTCGTAGGGCCCCTATCCATGCCAAGTACCAAGGCGATGCAAACCACACATCAATTATGTCATCGGTCCGCAACGTTCGTGGTCATCTTCCCAACTGGCGGCGAATAGAAAAGAAGCCACCTGAGTACTTGGTTTAGCCGGTCAGATAATTACCCAACCATCCATCCACCAATCAGATCGAACAAACCAAAAACAAATCGAAGGAGGAGAGATACCAAACAAGACAGGAATATAAATCCCGATCACTGTCTACCTGGGATGCAGTGAATTTACTCTGCAAAAAATAGGTGCCAGAAACAAAAGAGAACCAAGGTCCCGAGAGTCTACTTATACATGCTAGCGCACGCACTGCGTCCGCGCAATAGCTGCGCTCAGGGCCACTTCGCGGCCACGTCGGCTTCGCCTCCGGTCTGTCCGAGCCAGGTGACTTAAAGGAGGATGTACTTACAGTTTGTTAGATCTTTTTGTTCAAACAATAGGTAAATGAAGCTGAGGGAAGATAAGCGCGCATTTAAGCGAATGATGAGAAAATACAAGATAGTTCTCCTCGCGTGCGTCATGGTCGCAGCGGTGGCCGCATCAGCCATCTAGAACGAGTTTCTTGAAAACAACCAACCCGAGGTTTAGCCGTAGCCCTGGTTCGCGCGCTTAGATATGTCGTACTCGGACTACCTGAACATGCAACGCGACCTACTCCATGATCGGCTTCTTGGGTTCGCTCGAGTTGCAGCCCATGGTCGCGGGTCGGTCGCAGTGGCGTCGGCGACTGCTGTGCCATAGATGACACTTTCGCACGGGCGGTACAATCCTCGATGATTTAGTCAAGATGACGGGTGAACCCAAGCGATGTGATATGCGTCGTTGTGCATTGGCTGGCGACTGGGTCGCCTTGGGGTTCTTACCACCCGCCACGACACACCGTGGGCTCTTGGTGACGCTGCTGGAGGGTTAAGCCAAGGCAACCTCGAGCACGCGCGTCCAGTTCGCAGGCACTACTATGTTCCCGCCGACAATGTAAGTGGCTTTTTTTGCTTCGAATAGTATTGACGGCCAATCCTAGCTATCTAGCCGTCGATCAAATCGTGTTCGGTCAGCAATGCGATAGTGAGTTCGTCGATGCCAACCCAATGTACATCCTGGGTGCGTATCCACTTTTTACACCGAACACAGCGTCAAGTACTACTCGCACGTGATCGCACTCGTGTTTGCTGTCACGACGTGGAAATCTTAAAGTGAGACGAGCCCACGCGTCATTGCTCATCTAGATCACAACCCTCGATCGCCAGCATTGACGTTTGCTCCCGCTCGTTTGATCATCGTCCCACTCGCAGCGTACCTCTCGTTGAGTTTGATCGCATGCGTCACCGATATCTATGCCACCCAGCATATTTGCTGTGTAGTGGAGTTTGTCCATTGGTGACGACGAGTATATATATTCGGTGGTCAATATTCGCTGGCCCACCCGTGCTTTCGCCCCGCGGGCGCGGTCGCCCAGTCTCCACGAAGTTCCGTCGCCTCCTGGCCCTCCGCTACCGCCACCAATCGTCCGGCCTCGCCTCGTGCAGCGTCGGTTTTATGCGCTCATTCGGTATCCGGATTTATTCGGATGCGGGCTCGTACGGTTTCGTTTGAAACACACCTGACAGCTTGCACTCCTCTGTCGAGTGGTCCGAGTACAGGAACCTACGTACGACCTCGCGCGAACTATTCCTCGACGAGTGGGGTCCACCACGGGATGGATTTCTCTCTGTGCAGGTAACTCCCAATGATCAAGTGCTGGTGCCAACTCCCACGCATTCAGGCGTAGCACTACGCATGCGAACTCTTTGTAAGAAAGATAAAGCGGAACACGTTGATATAATATACACAACGAGCACCCCAACGCGCACCGCCCTAAAGCCGCCCTTGCCAAGGACACAAGGAAACGTGCTGCCAAGTTGGCCGATGTCGTCCAGCCGGTGACCAAGCGCACTAAGGTCATATCAGCCAGTTCGAGCATCCTTCAAGCGAAGACCAACGCGACGAATGGAAAGAAAGCAGCCCCGAAATCACCTACATCGAAGGCCACAAATTCCTCGGCAAGTCGCTCACGAGCTGATCTCGTCGCTGCAATGCTCACGGAGACGTCCAAGTTTCTTCGTGTGAAACTGTCTTCAAAGTTGCCTAGTCTGGAGCCGTGCACTCTGCTCGCGGATGCGATCGACACATATGGAGTCAAATACTTTACGCCCGACCACAACGACGTTGATCTTTTTGCCCATGTACACTGCTTCACGCCAAACCCTGACGACACGTGTGGTCATTGCTACGGTATGACGAGTGGCTCATCGAAACAACAATTCGAGATCTTCATGCAATTGGCCATCGCGCGCACAAGCCACGCTAGTGCTTTCGTCTCGATGGATGAGCCATTACGCCATCTACAAGAAGAGCCCGATGGACTGGACAACACGCATCACCGCGGACAAACGGAGTGCCATGCTCTATTCCAACGAAACACCAACCTACGCACCTTCCCTTTGTGGCTTATGCCCATTTCCAAGAACAAAGTCCACTGGCATCTTTTTTGCTTCGTTCTGCCGGGTAATGCCAATGGGTAAGTCATAATCTTGGACTCGATTAACAAGAGCGGCAGGCCGGACAAGCGCGATCTGGAGCTCCTCGCGTTTGGTGATGGCCTTGCCACTCTTGTTTTCAGTGATCCGCGCATCGCCAACCATCTCCACTTGCAGCGCGTCGTCTCGCGGGTGCCTCAACAATTGAACGGCTGCGACTGAGGCATATTTATCGTTCCCAACACTATCAACGTCCTGCACCGCGACCTTCAGTCGTTGACGCCGCCTCAGTCGTTGGCGTCTCTCGAGGACCTCAACCAACTGCGTAGCTCTGCCGCCGACGGCACAGCCTGGAAGGCCTTTACACAGCGAGTCGTCATGGGCCTCACCCGCGGCCACAAGCGCCCCCGGACGACCACAGAAGAGCTCAACGAGCCCCCGCGCCGCCGCCTGCGCAGCCACGGCCCGGTGAGCGAATGAAGAAGAAGGAGATTGCTAGTCTCTACGTATGCAAAACCTTTGTAACAACGAAGGTAACGCGAAACACGTTCATATATATGTCAACTGCGTGGCTAACTTTGACGCACTTTGCACGATCGATTCGACATATACCCGCACACTCAACTTTCATGGCGGTACAGTCAAGGCATCGATCATCGCAATCACTGTCGCACAATATTAATCTGCTTCGAGCTGCACTTCTTAATCTACGTGTCGTCGTTATAGTGGCTGGCGGTTCGCGTACTTCTCCTTGGTTACCACACATTGCTGTCCAAGCGGTCATCCTACAATTGCGAAATACCGGTTAGTTACTACCAGCCCACCCCGCAAGGGACGTGTTCTCAAAGCCGTGCCCACAGCAAACTGTCCGTGGATGCTCGTGGAGGACATGAGTGTGACGTCGGACGATTGCCCGAGCAATCTCTAGGCGTACCGCCGCTACGTCAATCAGCTCAACGCATCGGACGCTGGTTTTATGAAGACGCTGCCGCAGGGCGACGACTACACGGGGACAGTCATCGACGTGGTGTCTTGTACCGTCAGCATGGCGAGTGTGACAGCGTCCAACGAAGACGATGCGTGGCAGGCCGAAGCGTCGTCATGATAGACTCGGCGGTGACCCTCCTCCACTCGACTGCACTAGCATGGTGAGCGCAATGACGGGTGCATCATTCCAGCGCGCTGCTACGCGTCCATGATTGCGGTCCATGCGATGTCGGTACGGCGTCCGCCGGTCGATTGTACGAGCCTTTTCACGTACTCATAGAGCTGTAAATTTGTCGTGCCAAAGGGATATATCCGGGAGCGCGCTATCGCGTGGGAATATGTAGATGTCACCGACAGCAGGAAGCGTCATCTTGATTTTTCGAGATCACAGACACACTCGAGGTCGAAACCACAAGCATATTTACCAACCAGGTCGAAGGTGTCGGGCGCGGGCCAGCCAGTTCTGCAAGCCTCTCTCAATGGCTTCGAAAAGGTTGATGTCGTTGCTGTGTCGACGAGGTAATCGAGGGAGCTTGCACGAGTTTGGCGTCGTCAAGCTTGGTCACGAGCTAAGCGCATGCAAAGCCGTCGCACCTATAGATACGTCCACGGCGTTGTGGGCATGGCGTCATGAGCTGTAGGGCGACAGGAGTGAGGAGAGACGGAAGATTGAGTCAGCAGTACGTTGTTTAGTGTTTAAAAGATACCCAATCCAAGCGACGTTTTCGGATCTTTAGGCACTTTCAATTCGAAAAGACACATGCCACCGAAGCCCAAGGCAACGTCGCCGACGAAGAAGAAGGCCAAAGAGACCAAGGCCTCGGATGCTATTGCCTCGGACACGCCCAAGAGCGGCGACGTACCAGCCCAAGCCACCGAACCCGACGACGCCGACATTTACCACGAGCCTGTACGGACCCATGTTCGGACCAACGACGATGGGCGCGCGTAGGTCAAGAAGATTGTCGTTCCAGACAACCAGCTACGCCTCAATGAGCAAGAGCTCAAGGAAGAGTTCTCGCGGTGCGTCGCGAGTCCAACGTCGTCTGGCGCTCACACGCGCTCGTAGGGTCCTCACGGCCAACGACCCGAACGTGCCCAATAATATCACCAAGTACAACTACAAGGAGCGCATGTACAAAGTTGATCCCCCGGGACCCGGCGACAACTTGTATCTGCACCTCGCGCTCGAAGGTTCGATGATCCACAAAGAGTCGGAAGACGCCAAGGCCCAAGCGGCGTACGACATGAAGAAGGCCGAGGAAGAGAAGGAAGCACGGGATGCTGCGATCAAGATTGCCAAGGAAGAGGCCGAGGCAAAAGGTGAAAAGCTCGACGAGACGGCGCTCCAGTTTGAGTCGGGGAAGAACCAGTTCAACTACAGCGAGCGGGCGGCACAGACGTACACGAACCCGCTGCGGCAGCGGTCGGTGGAGACGGAGCCTCCGCCCGTGCTCAACTACATGGCCACTGTGACGCAGGTAGTGTCGATGCGAAGCGCTCTCGACCAACGCTGGCTTCTAGTGGGATATCTACGACACGTACATGGACGCGTACGAGCAGCACCAGCGCGAGCAAATTCAGCTCCAGAAAGCGGCTCAAAAGAAAGAAAAGGAAGAGAAGGACGGTGGAGACGTCGCGGTGGCTGCGACCGCGGCAGTCGCCAGTACGGGCGGCGCCAAAATAAGGACGACGACATGGTTCATAGCGCAGCGATGGGCAAGATCCTCCGCGTCATCGAGCGCATGGTGAACCAGAACGCCGAGGACGAGATCTTCCAGGATTTCAAGTACTGGGAGGACGCGTCCGACGCTTTCCGCGAAGGCGAGGGCTCCCTCCTCCCGCTCTGGCGCTTTGCGTCCGAACGCGCCAAGAAGAAGCAAGTGACGGCCGTGTGCTGGAACCCTTGCTTCTCGGACCTCTTTGCTGTCGGGTACGGCTCGTACGACTTTTTGAAGCAAGGCTCGGGCCTCGTGTGCTGCTACACACTCAAAAACACGTCGCACCCCGAGTTCATCTTTGCGACCGAGTCGGGTGTCATGTGCCTCGACTTTCACCCGCAACAGCCGGCGCTTCTGGCCGTTGGCTGCTACGACGGCACGGTGCTTGTCTACGACGTCCGCAACAAGGTGAATCGGCCCATCTACACGTCAACGATCAAGACCGGCAAGCACACCGATCCCGTGTGGCAGGTCAACTGGCAGGAAGAAGACCTCGCGAAGGAGCTCAACTTCTTCTCGATTTCTTCCGACGGTCGCGTCGCCAACTGGATCATGAGCAAGAACGAGCTCAAGATGGAGCCGGTGATGCAGCTCAAGCTCGTCAACACGGTCAAAGACGATCCGGAGGAAACGTCGCTCTCGGGGCTCGCGGGTGGCTGCTGCTTTGACTTTAACCGCTTCAGTGAGCACCTCTTCATCGTCGGAACGGAGGAGGGCAAGATCCACAAGTGTTCCAAGGCCTACTCGGGCCAGTATCTCGAAACGTACGCGGGCCACCACATGGCAGTCTACGCCGTGCGCTGGAACCCGTTCCACGACCGCTGCTTCCTCTCGTGCTCGGCCGATTGGACCGTGAAGCTCTGGGACCACAGCCTTCCGGACCCGATCATGTCGTTCGATCTTGGCAACTCGGTTGGCGACGTGGCCTGGGCGCCGTACTCGTCCACAGTGTTCGCTGCCGTCACGAGCGACGGCAAGGTTCACGTCTTCGACCTCGCCGAAAACAAGAACGAGCCGCTCTGTGAGCAAAAAGTGGTCAAACGCGCCAAGCTCACGCACGTGACCTTCAACACGCGCGAGAGCATCGTGCTCGTCGGTGATGACCGCGGCGGCGTCAACTCGCTCAAGCTGTCGCCCAATCTACGCAAGATCGCAGTCGTCGATGGAGAGGACGTCGCGACGGCCCTCCCGCTCAAGCTCACGAAAGACCGCTTGCGCACCGAGCACGAAAAGGTCGAGAAACTCCTCAGCACAAACGACAACAAAGCCTGAATTAACCTATTTCGATCCACTTCTCTCGCTTGGATACTCAGATTTGTCTATCCTGTACACGCACGGATGTAGATAAATAGGAGGTTGCAACGCGGCTACTCGACAAAATGCTCGTCTCCGTAGTCGGCGCCGTCCTCGTCAGCGTGATGTCCGTCGTCAAAGCCGTCGTCAGCGTACGCGAGCTCCATGTGTTCGTGCTGCTCTTCGTCGTCAAACTCAGCGTTGTACACATCGTCTTCTGGGTTCACCGGCGGCGTGTCATGCATTGTGTCGTCCTCGTAGTCGTCGCCGCCTTCGTGGTCGTTCGGTGCAGTAGCGACGGCTTCTTTGGGGGCCGGGGAGGACTCGCCACTGTCGTCGTCGTCGCTGTACGCATGCCCATCGTCGTCGACGGGTATCAAACTTGTGTTGCTCTCCACTGGGACGTCTTTAGCGCTGATCTCTTCGGCTGGGATGTTGGACGATACGTCAGGAGGCTTGGGCAATGTCGGCTCGGTCGGGTTGTATTCGTTCGTCTCCTTGGTCGAAGTGTCCTTCTCTTCGTTGTTTGTATATACATGGCTGTTGTCCAGATCATCATCATAGGCGTCAGCTTCGCCGTCGGCGGGTGGTGGTGGCAGTTCCTGGCCCGCAACCTCTGTCGACGCAGGCTCCGTCGACTCTTCGTCGTGGTGGCTCGACTCTTCCGGTGCCGTGGCACGAACGGTGGGCCGATCGTCATCGTCGTACAAATCGTCGTGGCGGTCCGTGTTCGGTGACTCTTTGGCTTCATCGCCCACAGGCGCAAAGCCAGGCCCTACCATACGTCTCCATGAGATGTACACTCGTGTGTTGGAAGCCCAGGACCACCTGGTTGTTGGCTGCAGTGAATCTCTCCTGCACCGTCTCTGGCGTCAGAAGCTTCGTCGTACTCCTTGTCAAGCGTGGGAGCGGACACGACCGGTGTAGCGTCTGCGCCGCCCGCATCGCATTGAAACGAGATGGTTTTTTCGTCCGGCGAGTTGGTTGGTTTCGTTGGCGATGTGCGCTCGACGACCACGTGCTGCAACCCCGCGGTGAGTACGGCAGTTGCAAGGGATTGTGCAACAGCGTTCAGCGCTGCATCCTCAAAATCGGCCGTGTCGCTTAGCGGCGGCGTGTCCACAGAGCCCAGCCGCTGCGTGTTGTTGTCGTCATATCCGTCAGCATCGTAAGGTGCGACGGCATTGTCCGCTGGGAGCGACTCGCGCAGCCTCGTCGAGTATCATGTGGTCGACTGCAGTCCAAAGTTCAGTTTCCACCACAACCGATGCAAGAGCTGTCACAGCCGGAGCTCCGGCGTCAGTAGTCGTGTCGCTGATCGGAACACCTGGCATCGTTCTGTCGTCCGTCGCCTTGACTTCATTTGCAACGTCCTCATCACGGTTTGGTGGTGGCGATGGTGCAGCTTCCTGGACAGCGCCCGACGACGGTTCATGCTCAATGACGTCTGTGGATCCGAACCGTTCTGGAACAGCGGCTGTGAGCGTACTGGGCACCTCTTCGTCCACCGCAGCAGCAGCAGGTAAAGTCGTGTTGCGTGGTGGTTCTGAAGACTCATCGCTGTCGGCGGCGGCGTCACTTGGGGCCGACGTCGCACGAAGAAACTCGGTCATGCCTGCGCTTTCGACAGGCGCAGAGGGTGCGAGTGCTTGCCTCTCCTCCGTGGCGTGCGCATCGCTCGGCGATGGTATTCGGCTGTCTTCGCGACCGTCGTGAGTTGCTCCAATCATCGCATCGTCAGCAATGGTTGCGCTGCTGCTGGACTCTGGCAGCTGCCGTACCGCATCGCTTGGGTCGGGTTGATCCAATGTGATCGATGGCGTCTTCTGGCTTGGCTCGGGTTCCGGCACGATCTCCTCGCCGTGCGAGGCTCCGCCCGGTACGATCTTGTTGCGGCGGGTCGCTTTCCGCGACGACGCTTTCTTGACGTGGATCGCGTTGCCGTCGGTCTTGGTTTCGATCTCTCGCTCGCTCTTGCTGAGTTTGTGCTCCTTGCTTTTGACAAACTTGAGCTTCTACAAGGTAGATTGTTGCGTATCGCGTCTACCAGCGCGCTCGCCGCACCCATTTGTTGCCCTTCTTCGGGTCCTTTTGCTTGAGCGTGGGCTTGACCGTCTGCAGTCGCCGCAGCATGGCCTGGTTCTCCATGTAAATCTTCTCCTGCTCTCGCTTGCGCTGGCCGTCGTGCAGCGACTTCTTGGGCGTCTTCTCGTCGTCGCCGCCCTTGGCCGTCGTCAGCGCGATCGTCGCAATGCGCTCGAGGAGCCGCCGGTTCTCGACTTCGATCGCGTCGAGGCGGTCTTCCTTGAGCTGGCTCTTCTTGGACGTGCTGCTGCCGCCCATGGCCGCGGTCTTGGGGACGGTGTTGTCGATGAACGGCGTCATGTGGCTCATGCGCGAGAGGTGGCCCTCGAGGTTCTTGTGCACCTCGCGATGCCACATGGTCTCGCTCGCATGCGGCTCGGCCTTCCGCGCGCGGTCCATCCAACTCAAGAGCGGTTTCTACTGCAAGCCGCTTTCAAAACGGCAGAGATATTTCCGTCGACCTCGAAGTCTCTGAGCTACGAGTCGAGTAGCAATCCATCCAGTATATATACATGTATGACGTGTCTTAGTACAGGTAGACGCTATAAGCCGTGGTGACGCAAAACAGCGTATCCTGTACAATATGAGCTTTTTCTCGACACAGCGCCACACGTACATTGGTGTACGTCTCGGTGGCGTAGCAGTCGGTCTCAGCGTCCCAGAAGCAGCGACACCCCATGCTACGCAATCGCTCGCTCTATACATTCGCCACAGCACGCTACCGGACGCCCTCGCCGCGCTGCTCGCCAATGACGACTTGCACGAGGTACTTGCACCGAGGAAACTCGCAGGCTACGTCCATAGCACTCACAGCCTTGCTTTCAAAGAGCCTCGCACCTTTGAGTTGGGCCTTGACGGCGTCGGCAATCTCCTTTGTGAGCTGCGACGCGCGCTCCGACTGGTAGGGCACGTTCTCGAGCTTCTCGGCCAGCACGGCCGATATGATTTGCTTCATTTTGGTGGTCGTAGGCCTACGCCGCATCGTCAGCACCACCCTTCGGCGCCGCTTGATCGCACTTGTTCTTGTAGCTCGGGCGCAGCGAGATCGCCGACGCCGCCGTCACCTTGGTTGTTGCTGGCATTGTCCGCGTCGGTTCGAAACTAAGATACGCGACCGCTTCTACGGCGGCAGATGCCGATTTTAGTTTCATCATCAAACGTCCGCGGCTTGGCTGTTAGTCCAGCATACCGATGGGATACCAATCACAACACGCTTAAGCTCGTCTTGTCCACGCGCAACTCGTAGTGGGATGAAAGGCGCTGGAGAGCCTGCACGTCAAAACACAAGCATAATCTACTCCGTGCTCTAAAGAGGCAGACGCCGAAAATAAGACCTGAAAACCAAGTGTCTCAGTGTGCAAATTCGACCGTCTGCAAGCGTCGACGCCGCAGCTATGGGTCTTCGCAGCCGCCAGCGCCGCCTTGCCGGCATCACGAGAGAGTCTTCCCTGGAGGCGTTCGACGAGCAAGTCAAGACGACGCTGCAAGGTACTTCGCTTCATGCTGCCGTCCCTTCCCCTCACGCATCCTCGGCGTAGAGCACCTCGCGCACTCGCAGAACGACGTCGCCGCCTTCAACCTCCTGTGGAAGGTAGTACATGCCTCCTGCAGCACACAATGGCTCATGCGTGTCCAGGGCTTCCTCGGCAAGCTCGGTTATGCACTTGTGGGGTTTGAGATCCTCTCCGTGTGGTACGCCATCTCAACGACCAGCATCCTCGGCCTGGCGCTCATTGCCGGGATCAAGATTGCTTCCTGCACCGCCATCCTCCTCACCAAGACGTACGTGACGGAAGGCGATCAGTATGTGCCTGCCCAGACGCTCTCGGTCGGCCTCACGCTTGTCTGGGGCGTGATGGGGCTCCTCGGCGCCGATGATGCGTTGCGCCGCAGCACGGTACCGCTCTCGGCCATCTACTTTGCGGGCGTCGCCGCGTCGGTGTGGTTCATGGGCAGCAACACCAAGGCGGAAGTCGCTCGCGCCAAGCAGCTTGCCAAGCTCGAAACAGTGTTTCGTCAATAAAAACCCTCTTCGTCTACCGGTATCCGCGGCCACGGCCTCGCCCGCGCCCGCCGCCGTTGCCGCGATTGTTGCTGTTGTTGTTGTTGTAGCCTCCACGGCTGTCGTTGGAGCTTTCGTGCTCTTCGTCGTCCTTGGAGATTTCCGACTCCTTCGGCACGCGGCCCTCCGGCTCGTTGCGCACTTGGTTTTCGCCCAGAAACGTGTTGAGTCGCGCGAGGTTCGCAGCGGCGCCCGACTTGGCATCCCGCGAGAGATCGGGAAGCACGTGGCGCTGGAGGAGCTCCAATAGCTTTTGAAACTGCCGCTTGTACTGCGAGAGGAGCGCGAAACCTGCCGTCTACCAGCACACAGTAGCATCGCATGTGATCGAAGAAGCGTCGTACTTCGAGCAGCGCAAGGATGGTCATGGCAGTGTACGTGTGCGGGGGCTGTTCACGAGCCGAGCGAGCCATGCCCAGAGGTCGTTGAAGGCCAAACCCTTGGGTTGCGGACTGCCATCGAACGGCGTCGTCTGCCAACAAACCGTGATTCAAGAGCCATGGAAGCAATCGAGCCGACCTGCATCGTCGCGGCCAGGAGCGCGATCGCCATGGACATGCGCATCTGGTACTTTTCCAGTTCTTCAGCCGCCTGGCGTTCGTCGTCCCACTCCATGCCAATCGTCGCGAGGAACTCCTGGGGACTCTGCTCCGGACGGAGCGGCGGGCAGAACGGCACCGTAAACGGGCAAATCTACCGCGGGGCTCCATGTGAAAGCGAGTTCATCGACAAAAGAGCGCACCTGGTTGAGGTGCGCGACAAAGATGTCGGCAAGCTCTGGCGTGTGCACGCTGCACATGGCCGCAACATGGGCGAGCGGGAAGCACGACCTATGTGTCTACATGTAGCATGCAATCGCAGCGTCGCGTGGTGGCTACCGGATTTCAGTGAGCACTTTGACTTGGGACGTGAGGCGCGTCGCGAGAATGTCGAGAGAAAAGTTGAGGTACTCGGGGCCCGCAGCCCGAGCCTCCTACACCGCACACGTCAATCTACGCATCGCAAACGGGACGACACGCACCGAGAGCACTTTGCAGAGCTTGGTGACCACAAGCTTGATGGATTTGGGCGTGTTGGCCACTTGGTTGCACGCTTCACCAATCTACTCGACGCTTGTAGCAACACATGTACGACGCAGCACGTCGCACCTGCTTCTTGACGTCCATGCGGATCTTCTTGACGCGCGGGTCTGTCGAGTTGAGAATGGGCTCACTCGCGGCATGCACAGCCCGCAAGCGCTGCAGCCGCGCCTCGCTTTCGAGCACATGAGGCTCCTTTGCCGCTGGGACGCTGGCTTTTTGCGCAGCGTCGGCCTTGGCTCGGGCAGCCGCGGCTTCGGTCGCTGCCTTGGTCTTGTCGTCCTCGTTTGCCTTGGCCTCCGCGCTGGCCTTTGCCTCCTTTTCGTCGGCTTCTGCCTTGGCTGCCTCTTCGTTCGCTTCCGCCTCCGCCTCCTCTTCCGCTTTGGCTTTGGCCTGGGCAGCTGCTTCGTCCTCTTTGGCTTGGCGCGCCGCCTCGGCAGCGCGTTCGGCCGCCAACGCCTTCTCTTTCGCCTCCTTCTCCGCCTGGACCTTGCGCTTCCACTCTTCCACACTGGCTTCCACGCTTGAGAACGACATGTTTCGCGCCTGCGATGCCTTGGCCATGTCTGCCCTGGCCTTTGCTCGCAACATCTCGTCCTACGCGGCCAGATAAGCAGAAGCACACGTATTCCAACCGCACCTTGCGCACTAGGTCGGCCGTAGTCTTCATGTGGCACGAACCGAGCAAGCGCGCGAGCTCTTTTGGGTCGTTGAGCTCGTCCGATGGCTTGAGCGTGAGTTGAGTCGTCAATGCGCCGTAGCTGCTGCTTGCATGCGCCCGCTGGTACGCGCTGCGCTCACATGTGGCTGTGATATGCTTGGCGAAGAGCGCGCCGCCTACATTGGTGGCCGCTATATCATACGCGCCGCGAGTCGCCCTACCTTGCTCGTCGTCGTTTTGAGGTACCGCCTTGATGTGCAGGAGCTCTGGCTGTCTCGATGGGTCTAGCGTCGGTAGAGAAGGCGCATGCCCATAGGCAAGCGTTGGCTGCGTCGAGAGACCGTGCGTATCGTCGTCGTCCTCGAAGCTTGGCGCACGAACTCGACCCATCCTGCCTCCTTGCGCCACCAAAATGCAAATAAATAGCTTCGGACTACGGGCCGAACTTCGAAGCCACGCGTGCAACAACCGACCAGCTCCTTGCTGGTTTCAATTCCGCTCGACGCGGCGCCGGCGGTGCGGTCGTCATGGCTCATTGCGCTTGCGATCCTTGCGCCCAAGTCTTCGTGGCCAGCGTGCGATGGACGCAGGAGCACTCGACTGCGTGCAGGCCGAAGCACCGCCGTTTCAGACTATCCAGCAAGATACTGCGGACGAGCAAAGATCCGGTTGGTGGTGGGTTGGAGCAATTCGATTTGTGTGGTGAGATGGCCAAGACGGACGAGCCGATGGTGGACGCGGACGAGGACAACCCGTTCTCGCAGTACTACGGCATGCTGCTGCACCAGCAGAACATGCTGCAGGACCACGTGCGGACGAGCACGTACGAGCGCGCCATGCTCGCCAACGCCTCGGACTTTGCCGGCAAGGTCGTGCTCGACGTGGGGACCGGGTCTGGCATCCTCGCCTACTTTGCCATCAAGGCTGGCGCCAAGCGCGTCTACGCCGTCGAGCTCAGTGCGATGGCTGACTGCGCACGAAAGCTACTCACAGACAACGGCCTTGCCGACCGCATCATCGTTGTCCGCGGCAAGGTCGAAGAGGTCGACCTGCCCGAGCAGGTCGACATTGTCATCTCCGAGCCCATGGGCTTCTTCCTCGTGCACGAGCGCATGCTCGAATCGTACGTCTCGGGGCGCATCAAGTGGATGAAGCCGGGTGGCCTCATGTTTCCGTCGATCGGCACGATGTTCGTCGCTCCGTTCTCGGACGACGCGATCTACCAAGAGCAGATGGCCAAGGTCAGCTTTTGGCGCCAGCGTGACTTTTACGGCTCAACCTGAGCTCGCTCGTCGACGAGGCGATGGACAACCACTTTTCGCAGCCGGTCGTCGGGTACTTTGCGCCCTCGATTCTCATCTCGGGCTCGACCGTGTCGCACACGCTCGACTTTGGACGCATGTCGGTCGAGGACTTTCACGGCTTTGACATTCCGTTCCAGTTTACGATCAACCGCACATGTACGCGCATCGTCTATGCATGCATAGGCCTAACGCTTGCGTAGCCATCTTGCACGGTCTCGCGTGCTGGTTCACGGTCGATTTTATCGGGTCCACGGCTACCGTCGTGCTCTCGACGGCGCCATCCGAGACGGGCACACACTGGTACCAGTGCCGGCTCCTCCTCAAGCAGCCGATCGCTGTCAACAGCTCGCAGTCCGTTTCTGGCAACCTCCACTTTGTCGCCAACAAAAAGTTCAGCTACGACATCGACATGGAAGGTACTCTCTCCATCCTATGCCAATCGAGCACCGACGAAGATGACCTGGATAGTGCGTCTGGATGGCACGACGATCACGTCGACGAACCACATCCGCCTCCACGACCAAATGTACCACTACATGTACAACCCGCCGTCGTAATAACGAGAATACACCAATTGCCCAAGGTTTGCTATGGATGGACATCGATGGCAGCGGACGAGAGTCGCCACAACACTTGATGAATACATGGTGCTGGAAGCCACGTCCGAAGCCACGATCGCAGTCTCCTCAACAATCGTTCTTAGCGTTCTCGGGCTGGGATAACCATAGCCTTAGCCTCTATACAGTATGATTGCGCTCTGCAGTTTGCAGCCCTTGAACTTGAATGGGCTCCGGACCTGGTGGGCGCCCACTGCCATGACCGAAAACGAGCTCGCACGTGCCAGAAGTGACAGATGGCATGGCACGGATGGACATCTCAGAGATCGACCCAGCCGACTAGTATTGCTCCTCGCTTATCGCAGTGCTTTTAGGTGCAATAGAGGTCGTGGTTGGATCCGCCTAGACACCATAGCTAGAGTCCCAACTGTAGCGCTAGTGCTTGGCCATTGCTTTGCAGGTCTGCGGTGGCCACATTCAGCGGCTTACGCTGGGCTGACCCTAGAAGCGTGCACACAAATTACGTCAAGAGGTGGCGCAAGGCATAAACATCGTCTTCTTCGTTTCAAATGTTAAGAGCGCAAGACGACGCTTGGCCGGGGACAAGCGCGCATACAGGCGTTCACTGCCTATGCCCCGAGTGACGCGTTCCTGTGCTGGCGTACCACGGACGCGACCTCGGGCGTGCCTGAACTACATTTAATCGGTCTTCTTGCGGAACGAGCAGCCTTCGGTCAAGCGGGCCTTGCCGCCCGTGGGCTGGCAGAGCATGACCGAGCACGAGCCGCAGAGGACGACGGTCTGGGCGTGGCTGAAGACGGTCGTGCTACAAACATTGTCATGAGCGAGGCGCGCCAGGGAGCTGCGGGCGCGTACATGTTGAAGCAGCCAGGGCACTTGACGTCCATGAAGAACGAGTTGGGCGACTGAACCAGGCGCTTGAGCTTGTGCTTGCTGCGTTCCTCAGAGGCGGAAGGGTGGAGAAGGTCGCGGGCCTACGCATGCGAGTGAGCACCGTCGTCGTTGTCGTCTTGCAGCTGTGTACCATGATTAATCAACTGGAGCAATACACTGGAAGAAGACGAGTGAAAAATGCGTGCTTGGACCAACCACCGCTTCAGACCAGTCAATTTCCAAGCTTGCGGGCTCTCCGGATAATTTGGCCTAGCTGAGTCTTGACTGGTCGAGAACCTTCCGCTTCTATCCGGACAAACTGTATTTTTATTGCGTCGCATACAAAACCCATATGCAGCAGCGAGATTTTAATTTGTCGCTTTCGGAATGGGCCCGGCAAACCCAAACTGCCGGTAGGATGACCAGATAGCGCTAGGATTTCGCCGAATTTCAAAATCGGATGCGACCATCATCGACCCTCGCCATGTTGGTCGCCGAAGCCGCCATGGTCGCCGTTGGATCCACGCTGATCCTGTGCCTTGGTGCTGCAGAGGAGGCATTATGTACAGCGTCTGTCGGCGGATCCTTGATGCATTTTGAAGCATGTCACACGATTGCTCTGGCAAAAAGCAGCGTTGCAGCTTGGTGCCCCAAGCCATGGAGATGGCATTGCATTCATGGCTGCTGTTACAAGGATGGATGCGGTACCACTGCCGTTGAAATGCCCATGACACTTCGCATGCACGTGTGCTTCAAGGCCATGAGAGGAGCCCTACTTCCATACACGCTGCCTGAAAACGATTTCGCCTACTCGAGTCCAATGTTGCTTGTGCTGCAGGGAGCAACAACACCAATAGATGGATCATCCTCATCTTCCTGCAAGTCCATTTTGGTCAAATCATGGTTGCATCATTCAACCCAATTGGCTATAATGCCACGAATTGCACCAATCAAACGCAAGAATTTTCCAGAGAGCATTTGGCGGGATTGGAATTCGACCGACGATGACCGAGGATCTGCGGCCACCGACGCTGGCGACGCTGGACGAGCGCCCGCCCATGGAGGATGACGTCCTGCGTAGCATCCTCATCGACCTTGACGCCCCCGAGACCATGGACCAAGCCTTCCTCGCCTACGATGCGCTCCTTGGCCAGGATCGCTCGATGGAGGCCGAGGTGAGAACTGGATCCGCGCCCTTGGTCTACCTGTGCATGTAGATATCGGTCGTTGTCATGAAGACGCTGCTTGCAAAGGTTGTCTCGGCAGACGATTGTCCCACAGACATGCAGCAGCGCCTCGGAGACTTTGCTCTGCAGACGTACTCTCAGTCGCGACCAGGCGTGGACGTACGCCACCTGAGCTTCATCAGCTCCACGTTCCACGATACCCACACGCTCTTCACCATGACCCAAGAGAACGACCCGCGACGCCTCTTCCTCGTCCAGCTCTGCAGCACGCTCTCCGAGTACTACTTCAACCGGACGCCCCCTGCCGACGACGACCCCGATACAATCGCATCGATCGCGTACTGCCGCGACGCCTGGCTGCGCTTCCTGGCCTTTGCCCGCGTGGACACACCCACGCCAGATCTTGCGCTCATGGCTTGCATCTGGAAGGTAAGCGACGATCCAGCACCGAGGATCGACCGCGATCCAACGCACTAGACCGTCACACGTCTCTGTACGATGTATCGCAGCGTCTTTGCCAAGACCGAAGCCGGTCTTCCAGCGTCGCTGTATCGCACTCTTGAAGCATCAGTCGAGAGCCAAGTCGCTTGCCTCAGTACACAACTCGGTCAGCTCGAGATCGCCACATCCATCAACTTGACCAAGGTATCCATCCATCCAATCAATGACAAACTTCCTACGTCGTTCTAGACGCTGCGACTTCTCCTGAAAGCCTACGCCGGCCTCTTTGGCTGCTTTGCTGACTCTCTCGGCCCGGACGAGGTCCGCTTCCACCGACATCACGTGTTGGCGCTCATAGTACGCCTGTGTGTCTAGTACAACGACCGTCTCGACTTTCTCAGCAAGGTCTCAGGCAACATCTTCGAGATGCAGTTGCGTCTTGGCCAGCACCACGCTGAGATTTACCGCATGGCCGATGTTCTCCGGGCCGACGCGATGACGGTCCTCAGTAAAGTGCTCGGCCAAGCTCGACTGGCTCACGCGCCCCTCAAGCCGTGGTGCCGTGTCCAGCTCGAGTCCAGCCTTGCATCGACGACGGCAGATCTGACATGTTTCTTTCGCATCTGCATCTTGCTCAAGTCGCACACGCTTCTAATCGAGCGACCCGAACTCAGTGTCGTGAGCCGTACCCTGGACCAGCTGATGCAGTGCTTCCGATCCGTCGTCACGCATACACGCACAACGCGTCGCTCTTACCTCTCGGAGGTTCTAATCGAGCCGATCATTATGCTTGCCTTCCCAGCCTCCCCTCGAGCTGACGCGTTCAGAACTCAGGTAGCAGGCGTCCCAGTGTTTCGCGCTAACAGACGCGTAGCTGCAATTGCTCTCATATTCGTTCCATCCCAACGTCTACCAGCAACATTTGTGCCAGCTAGTGTGGCGCCACGTATTCCAAACAACATGGTACAGAACACACGCAAGTGGCTTCATCGTCCGCACAGACTTGTGCCAAAAAGGAAGGATTCCGCGCCAGGAGGCGTTGCGTTCGTCGACTGCTTGCTAAAGATGCTTACGGCGCCCTATCAAGAGTTCCCGGAACCGCGCGACAACCGCGTGGCACTGCTTGATCTTCTTGCGAGCATCTTTGACGTTCTCAGTCCCACCCAACAAGTGACTGCGCGGCAACTTTTGCTCGACGACTCACACTGCCGTTTATAGACGCACTGTTTGAGTGGCGCCGTTGCGACATTTGAAGGACTTTGCGGCGATGGGCCCGAGCACCACGTGACGCCAGCGTTTCTGGCTCACATTGACATGCTCGAGCACTTGCTGCGCACGACGGCGGGCCAGGCGCACGCAGCGAGCGTGGCTTTTGTGGCGACGCACTTGTCGGTGTCCATGGAGTGCTTTGGAACGGCTGTCGATATCCTTGCGGACGGCACTGACGGCGAGCTCGAGAACGCTTTCTGGCGCATCGTCGACGCGACACTTCTCGTGTGCGCCAACATCCTCTTGGGCACTGACGACGTCGCCCATGTCCACCACGAGATGATTGTTGACGCATCGTCTTGGATGCAGCCGCTCCTCATCAAGCTTGTGGAACTTCTCGCGCGCCAGCCGCCGCAGGCAGAGTACACACGACGCTTCCGCACAATCAGGTCTAAAGCGCGCACTGCGTAGGGACGCTTTTCACCGCGTGCTCTGCAATGCGCTGGAGCTTATCCGGGTGCTGCATCCGGCGCTCAAGACAAACACCAACAACTACTACCTCGCGCTGCTGCAGCACGTGCAGCAACTTGCAGCGGCGCATGCTACCGCGCACGTTCTCGTTGCGCACTTTATGCACTTTCTCGCTGACGTCCAGGTCCCAAGCGATGCGCCAAACGACCACGTACGTCGCAACTCGTCTTGCACCGAAGCAAAACATTTGGCTAGAAAATGGTTGGCGATGCTCTCTGCGCGATCTTTTCGTCGCTGCTTCAGTACCCGTCTCCATGGCCTGTCGTCGCGACGGCGTTGTGCGGGCTGCATAAGTTCCTCGCTACGTCCAACGTCGCCGACCCCCACACCGTGTCCATTCACGAACTTTTGCTGCGGTACTCGCTGACGCTGCACGACTTTTTTGCTATCGTGGTCGATCCGCCCTCGGTACTTGGTCTCTTTTTCTGGTTTGTGTCCTAGAATTTGTTTATAGCACGACCTCGTCGACCGAGTCGAGCTTTTGATGCACCAACAGGACAGTGTCTTTGAGAAAAGTCGACCGACGCGCCATGCTTCCTCGATCAAGAAGCGGGCGGCAGCAACGATTGATGATCTCCTCGAGACGTGTCACGCGATCAAGCGCTTGCGAACGACACGCAAAAACGACGCGCAGTCAGACGCAGCGTTCGAACACGCGGCTTCGGCACTTCAGGCCATTCTTGACCTCCACCACGATCACTCGTAATGCAAACGGTGCTTTTTAGCGAGGTAGTCCTACGACGTCTACGGTATATCTATCGGAACGAGGTGCCAAACGAGTTGAAGAAGCCCTTTTCTATCTTGCCCTGGGACAGATCCTTCTGCCGTCGCTCTCTACGCCATGGGCACCAATGAGATCGTTGCTAGAGCATGAGCTGGCTACCGTTCTTTGGCTTCTTCGGCTTGGCGTTTGAGCGTCTGCTGCACCTCGAGCGTCTGCTGCACGCGCTTCTTCTCCGCCTCGTACTCGTACTGCGCCATTTGTCGCCGAAGCAGATCTTGCTGCCGCGACTCTTCGAGCTCGGCGTCGCGCTCCATCTCGCGCTTTGCTTGTTTCGCCGCAAGGATAGCCTCGTTGGAAAACACGACAGCTTTGGCTTGCTCCGGGGAGAGACCCTTCCAATGGTCGACGCGGACGCGGCCAGACACGTCGGTCTTGGCCTGAAGGGGGTTCTCGCTCACGAGCGCGCTCGACACGGTCGCCTGGATCTCGCTCTGGTCCATGTCCAGCGTTCGCGCACGGGCGCGACTGTTGTTCAAGCGCTGGTTGGCCAGCATCGCTTCGTTGAACTTGCGCACTTCCAGCGCCTGCTTGGTCTTTTCCCGCTCGTACTCGGTCTCGGCTTCGTCCTGGAGCTTGCTCACATGCGCCATCGTGTCTGCGTACGCGCGGGCGTCGTCGTAGTCCGCCTGCAAGCGCGCCTGGCGCTCCTGCATCTGAAGCTGCGCCCAGTCGCGGTTCTGTGCCGCCTGAAGGCGGTGGCGTTCGTGGCGGCCGCGGTCCTCGCCATCAAACTTTTGCGCCGACGAGAGGTTGCAGCCATCCACATTGATGGCCGCAAAGTCTTTGGTGCTGCGCGCGATATCAGCCTCTCGACGCTCGCTGCGTGTTTGCGACTGCATCGCCCAGTCGCGCCGAAGCTTGGCGGCTTCGTCGCGCTTGACAAGCGTCTCTTCGGCTTCGACGCGAATGAGGTACCGGCGCAGGTCTTCTTGCTCCTGGACTAGACATCGCACACGATTACAACCAGCAAATGGCGTGGGCAGTTGTACATTGCTTCTCTTCCTCGTCCGCTTGCTGCTGGGCGAGCTGCTGTTTCTCTGCGATTTGGTTCTTTACGCCGACAATGTCCGCCTAGACCAGACCCATGCGTGAGACGCTCGTGGCGACGGCAACGACGTACGCCAATGTTGCGGAGGCGGCCGTCGTGAAGCTTCTTGACGCGCTCCTGGTCGCGCGCCCGGCGTGCTTCGGCGCGTCGGACGTCGACGTCCTCGCTGTTGAGCACCATGCTGTTGTCGGGGTTGCTTTGGCTCTGAAAACCGTCCCTTGGGTATTTTGAGCCACGCCGTTAAAAGATCTTGATGCACCAATCAAACACGAGAATACGAAAAGAATTCACGGATTGGTTGAAATGCGAGCGTCAGGCATCATTGCGAGATAAGCTCGCTCGCATGATCCTTTATCTACCTCCTTCGTTCGGCATGCAAGACTGGACTAGAATGCTGGGTTTATTGGGAAACTACATCGTCCGCTGATTACGCGGCGTCCGGGTATGCGACTTCATACGCTTCGTCCTTGGCGGCCTCGTACTCGGCGATTGTAACGTCGCCGCGCAGCAAGACTGGCTGCTTGGCGCCAAAGATGACGTCGGCGTCGACGTACACAGCGCGCACATGCTGCATGTCGGGCACGTGGAACATGGTGTCCATGAGCGTGCGCTCAAAGATCGCGCGCAGGCCACGCGCGCCCGTGTTGCGGCGCACGGCGAGCTCCGCGATCGCATCGAGACCGCACCGAGTCACGTGGAAGTCGACGTTGTGGAGCGCAAAGAGGGCGCGGTACTGCTTGATGAGTGAATTCTTGGGCTCACTCACGACGCGGACAAGTTCGTGGCGGTTGAGGCCAAGCGTGCTCACAAGGACGGGGAAGCGCCCGACAAACTCGGGAATGAGCCCGTACGCCACGAGATCCTGCGGCTCGGACTGCGTCAGGAGCTCGCCGACTCGGTCGAGGTCCGTCACTTTCGTGTCCTTCATCTGCGACTCAAAGCCGATGCTCGCAGTCGCGGTTCGGCGTGAGACAATGTGCTCGAGGCCCGCGAACGCGCCACCGCAGATGAAGAGGATGTTGGTCGTGTCGATCGCGATGAACTCGCCGCGCGGGTTCTTGCGGCCGCCCTTCTCGGGCACGTTGACCGTGCAGCCCTCCAGCATCTTGAGCAGCGCCTGCTGGACGCCTTCGCCCGACACGTCCCGCGTGATGCTCACCTAACAAAAGCTCGTGGCACGGGCTTCATCCTAATCGTTGACGCACGTTTTCACTCTTGCGAGAAATCTTGTCGATCTCGTCAATATAGATGATGCCCTTCTGCGCCGCTTCGAGGTCAAAGTTGGCCGCTTGGTAGAGCTTGTACAAGATGGACTCGACGTCCTCGCCGACGTACCCGGCCTGCGTGAGGCACGTAGCGTCCGCGATCACTAGCGGCACTTGCGCCAGCCGCGCCAGCGTTTTGGCCATGAGCGTCTTTCCCGACCCCGTCGGCCCCACGACGAGGATGTTGGTCTTGTCGATTTCGACACTGTCGTCGTCGACAGCAACCGTTGGCGTTGCCGACGCCGATGTAACTTCGGCGGCGACGACGCTCGGCGGCACGGCAATGGCTTCGAGCTGGATGCCGTGCTTCGCCGACTGGTAGATGGCCGGTTCATCCACCATGGCCGACACGCGCATCGAGCGTGGGTGGCCGTCATCGACGGGCGCCTCTGGCGGCTTGAAGTTCATGCTCAAGCGCTTGTAGTGGTTGTGCACGCCAACCGCGAGCGCCTTCTTGACGTTGTCTTGCCCGATGACGTACTTGTTGAGGCCGTCGTAGATTTCGCGGGGCGTGAGCACCTTGGGCGCCGCTGCCGGTGGCGTGTTCATGCGCTGGCTGTCGTGCAAGAGCCGATCAAAGTCGCTGTCGTCTACAACGCCATGATGAGTCGTGCCCGTCATATCGCAAGGAGCCAACTCGAGATGCGAAGGCGGGGCGTCGACTGGAACTGCGACGACGGCGTCTGGAACATGGAGCCAGCAAGCGGCGGTTCGGCCGCGAGCGACTTGACGGCAAAGTACGTTTTGCAACCTTCGCAGCCGACAATGTCGCCGGGTTCTAGCTGACGCGACGTCAACGGCAACGTCGTAGCTGGTGCCGTCGATACACCACTCGTCGACGTCGGTCGCGGTACTGCAATTGCAAGCTTGAGCGACTCGCCGCAATGCGGGCACGTCAGCTCGGACGCGTCTCGGGTCTCGGTGCTAAAGCAGCGGCCAGTAGGTGGCGTCAACCGGGGCAGCGTTGCCATCATCGGCGCACGAGGATGCATCGCGCGAGCAGCAGTCGTGAGGCGGCTGTGTCGGGCGGCCACGCGGGGTACTGCGCGGAGGTAGCGGCCAAGGCGCATGATCGGCGGTCGTGGCAGGAACACTTGTGTCGAAATTTCGGCGAAGGTTACCGGTATTTAATCACCACAATAAAATGCGCATACAAAAGCCAAGTGAAATGCCAATCTGCGACCAAAAGAAGATTGCCATCGGCGGAGCTCCAAGCGGCGCGGGCCTTCAAGACCGAGGTGCTGGAGGAGGACCACCGACGCCCACGTCCAGCACGGGAGAGGGCGGCCAGCGCTCGGTGCGTGAGGCCAAGCGTAGCGCCGTGTCTTTGGCCCATAGCCACCAGTCGAGCCGACGAGCGCAAACATCGTGTTTACCGCTTCCTACCATCTACACTAGGATCTACTCTTCGGGGCCAAAGACGAGCGAGTGCAGGGCGAAGAGAAGAAAGAGGACGCCGCCGACGACGGTCACCGTCTTCTCCGAGATGCGCGACGCGAGGAGCTTGCCGCCGACGACGGCGAGGCCCGTGCACATCGAGTGGCCGAGGATCGCACCCAACGTCACTAGACTCGGATGAGACAACATCGCTAAAGGAGGAGGAGGAAAGGACGTACCGCCAAACGCATCGTTCGCGGCCGCAAGCGTAATCGTGGCAATCTAGTACATCAAACGCTGAGCTCGCATGGCATGGCGCGCGCTGTGTACCTGGGACCGGTCACCCCACTCGGCGAGGAAGGTGAGGAAGAAGGCTTGCGAGAAGACCTTCATTGTACCCGACGACGGACCGATGGGCGCGCCGCCTTCAACCGACTCGACGTCCTCGGCATTCTTCTTGCCCTCGAGCTCTTCCTCGACCTCGGTGAGCTCTTCCGATGGACCGCTACATGACGAGTTGCATCCGTATGCTACAAGCGAACGATGGCCTACTTGGCGTTCATTCGCGCGAGTCGTAAAGCATCTTGAGGCCGAAAAACACAAACTAGATGAAAGCAAGCATGAGCGAGCGGTAGGACGCATCATGATAACGTACCAAGAAGGCGCCAGCGTAGTGTGTGAGGCGCGGGGGCAGGAAGAAGGCGGCGACGCCGCCAAGGACGACCGAGAGCACCGTCATCACAATGAGCGCGCCGATCGCGCCGGCAAAGACAACGATACGATCGTGCTTCATGGAGAGAATCGCAGCGATGAAGAAGGTCTTGTCGCCAACTTCGGTCGCCCAGATCGTGATGATGCCACTCATAAAGCCCGACCAGAACTTGTTGACCTTGTTCTTGACGCGCTTGAGGCCCGTGTTGTTGGCGTCGTCGTTGCGGTCGGGGTTGCTGGCAGCGACCGGCTTGACGCCACTGCCGGGCGCCAGTAGCGGGTCGATGGCGTCACGGACGCGCGCCGACCACTTGTCGAACTCGCGCCTCTGGAGCACACCATCGTGGTCCTCGTCGGCAGCGTCAAAGGCGTCGCGCTGGCCCACGACCGAGACCAGCGTCAGCAGCAGGAGCAGCAGCACCGGACTTGCCTTCATGTTCACGAGCGGTGAAATCCGGGAATATAATGGTGCGCCCGTGAACCCCCCAAAGTGGATACATCGAAGGTATCCATTGTCAGAGGCAATCGCTGGCAAGCGCGGATTGGCGCATGCACCAACGACGCGCGGGTGGCGCATGGTCCTCGCCCATGTAGCTGCCTCCGCCGGGGCGGCGGCGAGTGTCTACGTCCTACGCCCTACTCTATCTACCTCGCCAGCGTGTACGTTGGTCTTGCGGAGGCGCTGCGCTGCAGGATGGCTCTACGTTTGCATCCTCCCGCGTCCTCGAAGGACAATCGCACAACGCTTGTCCAATGCTGCAGCCTCGCCCTCGACGCAGCTTTGAAGCAAGAGTTTATAAATGTACAATGCTTACAGGCATCGTGGGCGCTACTAGTCTTGGAGCGGTACGGCCGAGCGCCACGACCCAGCGTGCACCTCCGTGTCGGGGATGCTCGGCATGCGCAGCGCAACGAAGCGCCAGAGCTTAAAGTCGAGCGCATACATACGGCCGCGGTACCGGAGCGTGAGCAAGCCCGTGATCGCCGCCGACGCGCGGTCGAGAAAGTAGATGCTGTTGCAGGTCCGGCCCGAGTGTTCAAAGAGGTACTTGGCGCCCGACGAGAAGAGAAGCGACGTGGCTTCGCACGCGTGGCTTGCGGCTGCGGAAGAGAACGAGCCTCGTGCCGCAAAAGCAAATTACATTCCATCCCAGAACGATGCCGACCAAGACGCCGAGGCGCTCGACCTGGCCAATCTCGATGGTGCCGCCGCGGCACACGACCTGGAGATCGACCTGCAGCAGACTGCAGTCGAGGCCGAGTCGCGTCGTCGGGGCAACAGGCGCGGCGAACGAGAGGGCAGCGGCCGTGACCCACACGGCGACGCTGTTGAACGTGGCGTAGGTCGCCGTGTAGGCTCTCGTGAAGACGATCATGATGTCGTTGACGACCGCGACGAGCCACGTGACTTCGCTCGCGGCGAGCAGCGTCTTGTACCACGGCATGGTCACGATCGATAACGACGAGACGCGGCCCGAGAAGCCAAGTGTGACCGTGCTCGTCGAGAGAAGCGTGAGCGCCGTGAGACTGCGCAGAAACAGGAACGGTCGACCGATCCAGACGTGGCCGCCGACGCGCGCGAGCTCGAGCATGTTGAGGCCTTGGATGTGGCCGCGCGCTGCGACAATGTAGCCGCCCGCGATGCCCGCGAGGACAATCATGACGAACGTGACGTAGAGCACGCCAGCTCGAAAGTAGCGCGCGATGTTGGTCGACACTTCCCACGGCAGCACGTCCTGCGCCAGCGGCGCCTGGAGCTCCGAGATCAGGTTGAGACGCCCGACGTCGCCGACGAACGCAACGACCTCGCGCTGCCCGAGAGCCCAGTCAAAGATGTAGTTCCACCCGAAAAACGAATACGTGCTGTCGCTGCTGTTGACGAGGTTGATGTGCCACAGCTCGATCGGCGACGTGGGCGTGAGGCTCGCCCAGACCATGGCCCGGATGTCCATGGCTGCGATCTGCGCGGCGAGCGCCGCCACCGTCGACGCCGCCACGTCATACTTGGACGCGCTGAGAAAGGCGGCGAGCGTCCTCGGGTACGCGCCGACGCACGACCCAATGTTGAACGCGTCGTTGGCGCACACGGCATCGAGCGACGGAAGCCGCGCCATCGTGGCCATAAACACATAGGCGTCCCGCGTCGGCTGGAGCAACCCCGACGTCGGCGCCCCCGACGAGCACGCGGCGTCGAACGAAAAGAACTGCCGCGGCCCCTTGAGCTTCGAGCCGGCTGTCCGCGCGGCGCCGGGGCAGAGGGGCGACCCGCCATACCCGATCGGCGTGCGTTCGAGCCACGCCAGCGGCAGCGGGTACGACGTCACGATCGGCGTGATGTTGAAGTAGAGGGCCTCGGCGGCTGCGCTCTCGGCGACGGTCGAGCGCACCTGCGCCAAGAGGTCCGCGATGAAGGCGGCGAGCGCGCTGGGCACCGACACGTACGTCATGTCGATGGTGCCAAACGGGCCGAGTGCCGTCGTCGTCAAAATCGCAAAGGCCTCGGGCAGCGGCGCCGCCAGCGTGCCGTTGGCCACCATCACCGACTGCAGCGTCGACGCGTTGGCGAATGCGTAGTTGCTGCTGCCGCGCACAAGGCTTTGTCCGCCAATGCCACTCGCATTGTACGCGACGGCGCCGAGGTCGTGGCCAAGGCCCCAGTACATTTTGTGCGACGTTTGCTGCGCCAGGCGGAAGCTCCCGGTCTGCGCCTGCAGCGTCAGTGGGTACGCGACGCCGTAGGCATTCACGACGACGTAGCTGTTGAGCACGCCAACGCGCTTGTAGTTTTGCCACTGCACGTCGTACGACGAGATCTGGGCGCTGGTCCAGTACACGACCTCGTCGCGCACCGAGGCTTTGGTCGGCGACGCGAGCTTGCTGAGGAGCGCGACACCGTCGATCGTCGTCGACAGCGCGCGGCCGATCGCGATCTCAAAGGCGTCGCCCCAGCACGCGCGCCACGCAGTCGCGTCGATGTTGCGCAAGAGCAGCTCGAGAAAGACAGCGCCGTTGCCGACTTGGGTCGCGCACCGCGCCTGGCGCGCTTGGCTGTGGGCGAGTTCCCACCGGCGCGCCACGTCCACGTAGCAGTAGGGCGTAAAGATCCACGGCGCATGGCACGCGTCTGTCGCGCGCAGCCCCTCGATCGCGGCCACCACGGAGCTCAGCTGCGCGTGCTGCAGCTTGGCGCCAAAGTTGACGGGCGCCGAGACGAGCGCCGTCGCCGCGCCATAGTAGGCCGGCAATGCCACGCGCTGCAAGGCGACGTCGTCCGACGCGACGCCGAGGACGAGCTGCTCGTTGAACCAATTGGCGAGCAGCGCGTGCGTGCCGGTCGAGTTGAACGTGGCCCAGAAGACGTCGTTGGCCAAGTTGGTCGCCGACACTTGGGCGTACGAGACGCTGCCTGCAATGGACGCGAGGATGTAGCCAAACCCGCCGAGAGCCGAGAGCCACGCGACCGCCGCGGTGGTGGACGTCGGCTTGCGGAGCGAGGAGCCGAGCGTCGATGCGGTGCGCTTGGAGCCATCCAAGAGCGGCGTCTCGAGCGCGACGCCGCGGGACGTCGGCAGCACATTGGGTAAAATGACCCAGAGCGGCATGTCGAAGAGGCGTCGACGGAACGGGAGGACGCCGGTGAGGACGCACGAGACGTCGTCGAGGACGGCGACCGCGTCGGTCGACTCTGGGAGCGGCGCCAGAAACGTCAGCGCCGCGCCCGAGAGCAGCAAGCTCTTGGTCGACGCTGTCGACGGCCGCGGCAGCCAGCGCAGCCCGACGCCGAACGCGAGCAGCGGCAGCGCCACTTGAACGCCGAGGAGCGCAAAGAAGCGCGGGGCCGACCCGAGCGCCACGGACGCGCTGGAGCACGCGACGGCGTAGTCCATGTTGGTGCTGTCGCAGACGCGGGCGACGGTCCCGATAGGCGAGAGCGGCGCGACTTGGTCGAGGAGAAGGAACGCGAGCCAGAGCGCGCACGACACCATGGGGCCGACGCGGGCCGTCACGGGCGCGTGCACAATGACCATGACGTCCTGCACCACGTACGTGACCCACGTCGCCTCGGCCGCGACGATCGCCGACGCGAGGAACCCGCGCGGAGAGAGCGCGAGCCGCGTGACGCCGTTGTCGGCCAGCAGCGCGAGGCGCGTGGAGCTGAGGAGGCAGGCGGCCGCCGCGCCGCGCAGAAAGAGCAGCGGCCGCCCGACCCACGTGGCCCCGGCGACGCGGTTGAAGAACGCGAGGTTGCGGCCGACGATGCCGAGCGACGCGTACCAGAGGCACAGCAGCGCGACGAGCGCCAAGATGGCGCTCGTGGCCGCGATGAGGTAGACGAGCACGACGGTCGCCCTCTCGATGTACCGGTTGCCGCTGCTCGTGGGCACGACCTTGGGCGCGAGAGCCGCCGACAGGAGGACCATCGTCGTGACGTCGCCTTCCACTTGCAAGACCTCGCGGCGACCGAGGACCCAGTCGTAGAGCATCACGCTGCCGTAGAACGACCATGCAGGCGACGTGGTGTCGAGCAGCGGCTGACGCAGGAGCTCGCCGTGGACGCCACGAAACGAAAACTGCATGAGCTCCGGTCCGACCGCTTGCACCGCGTTCAGGGCATCCGCTGTCGGCACTCCGGCGCCGACGGCCGTCGCGAGAGTCGTCGCCGCCGAGAGAAGCTGGAGGCACTCGGCGCGGCGGCCCGACGACAGCGCGCACGCGTCAGAAGCCGCCGGCGCGTAAAACTGAAGCGCAAAGAGAAGACCGTTTGGGTCGTCCAACGAGACGGCGAGTGGCGCGCCCGAGTTGCACGCGTCAAAGAAGCCGATCGTCTCCTGCACGTACGCGGTGCCAGCGTTGCGCGTGCAGCCCGGGTTGCCGCCGTAATAGAGACGCGTGCTCTCGGCTGTCCACGCCGGCGGCTGCGGCGTGAGCACGACGGCTGCGGCGCGCACCGCGTCGTACTGCGCTTTGATGGCGCGCGTGCTCGTGATGGCGTTCGCAACGACTGCTTGCACTGCGTCAAACACGCTGCGAAGCGCCACTGGTGGTGCTACGTACAAGATGTCGACCGTCACGAACGGCCCGATCGCGTCGTTGAAGAGCTGCGGCACCGGGTCGAAGGTGCCGTCGGCGCGGCTGTTGCCGTTGATGAGCGCGAGGTTGTTGCGCGTTCGATTGAGCCCAAACCAGTTGGGCGACGACGCGATGAGGCTGCGGTTGAAGGTCCACATGGCCCAGAGGTCGTTGAGCGGCTGCCAGTAGAGGTTCTCGGAGCTCCACGGGCCCGCCGCCGCCGCCGCGCTCTTGATGGCAAACGTGTGCGGCATCCCGAGCGCGTTCCAGATCGTGAACGATTCGGTGATGCCCGTCTCGGTTTTGTCTTGCCACAGCATCTCAAAGCGCTGGACGCCAAAGGACGTCCAGTACGCGACCTCGGCGGCCACCGAGTGCGTCGGGAGCGCGGCGGCCGTCGTCGCCAGCCACTCTTGTCCAGCGCGGGTCGCTTGCAGCGGCCCGAGGAGGCCGATCGAGAAGGCCTTGCCGGGCCCGGCCCAGAAGCCGAGAAAGTTGCTCCACACTTGGTTGCGGAGCGTCGCCTCGAGGTACACGGCGGCGTTGGTCGAGTACTTGGCTGCGCACCGCGCCTGGCGCGCCTCCGTGTGCGCGATCTCAAACGCCTTGGCAAAGTCCACGTAGCAGTGCTGCGTGTTCATGCGCAGCGACCACGCCGGCGAGAGCGTCCGGAGGTTGCGCACCGCGTACTCGAGCGACTGGAGCTCGTGGAGCACGAGCTGGCGCGCGTACGTCGGGTACATGAGGCTCGACGAGACGGGCGACGCGTACTGCTTGACCATGCTAGCGCTCAGCAGATCCAGGGTCGCGCCCTCTGGCAGGCCCGGGTGCAGCAACTGGTTGGCGACGTCCACGATAAACGCTTCGTGGCCGCTGAGGTTGTAGCCGGCCCACCACATGTCGTTCGCAAACGTCTCGCTGAGCTCGAGGACGTACCAGAATCCGCTCGCGATCGACACGAGCATGTAGCCGAGGCCGAGGAGCGCCTCGACTTTGCCCCAGCGTTTCGCTGGCAGCGTTGCCAGCGTCGGCGACGCAGCCGTCGGCTCTGCAGGCCGCACGCGGAGGCTTGTCGCAGCCGGTTCCATCGTCTTCTTGGCGCCAAAACGGCAAATGACGTCAACCGGTGCGCATGGTGCGAAGGGGTGAAACCAAACCGCCATAAATATATATACTACCATTCAACCAAATAGATAAATAGAGATGAAACCAAAAATATAGCAAGTTCCGATATAATAGATGGAAATGATTGTCCCTCCATGAAACCACCGACCCGCACTACGCCGACGACTCTTGCAGCGTGCGTCGAACGGGTATCGGTATCCAAGACGATCAAGTGTAAAAGAGTGTAGAGAAGGGTAGTCCTTAGTGTCTAAAGCAAATGGCTCTTGCGCAGCTCCTGGTACTTTTTATAGCCGAGCGCGCCGCCCGCGCCGAGCACGACGATGAGGATGACGAACGGGCCCTTCCAGCTGCCGTCCGTCGGCGCGTTCTTGACTTTCTCGTCGATCTTGGCCTTGACGTGGTTGGCGTGGTCGGCCACGCGGCGGTCGAGAGAGCTATCGACGATGCTCGTGATCTTCTGGTAAATGGTCTGGATGCGGTCTTCGTTGGCCTGCTCCTGCGCGCGAAGCTTGGCGATCGTGTTGGCGGTTTTCTCCTTGAGGTCCGTGAGCTTGTGCTCCGACTCGAGGCGAAAGTTGTCAATCTCCTTGGTCAACACCGCAATCTTGCAGTCCGTCTGGCACGACGGATCCGTGAGCCACTTCTTGTAGTCCTTCGAGAGGTTGTGCATGAGCGTGTCCGAGTCGGCCTGCGACATGGCCGGGTCGTCCGGCATCTCGTACGACGCCAGCTGCAGCACATCGTGGTTGTCGGCGACGCCGCCCGTCGCCGCCGACACGCCGATCGTCGAGCGCGACAGCCAGCCCGCCGGCAGCGGCAGCTCGCCTTCGTAGCAGCGCGTCCACGCGCCCTGGTTGGTCGCATCCACATCGACGCGCAGGCGGTTCTGGTCAATCTTGACCTTGAGGCGACCCGCGCTGTGGACCGGGTTGAACGACGCGCTCTCCTCGTAGTAGCGCACGGCCGCGTCGCAGCCGATCTTGGTCTCGTCGTTGAGCATGTCGAGGGTCTTGGTGCCATCGTTGATCTGGATCGACACGTCCTTGTGGCCGCCCTTGTGCTCCGGGTTCGCAAACGTGTCGAGGATGATGCCAATGCCGGTAAAGTCGGCCGTGAAGCCGTGGTTGTCGCCAAACACGTAGTTTTGGCTCGTCGTGATCCAGAGACCAATGCCATCGCCAAACCACTTTTGCCCTGGCCCGAGATGCGAAAGGTGAGGATCGTCGAGAAGCTCTCGCGGTTGATGAGCACGTTGTTCCAGAGATAGCCCTTCTTGCTCTGCCGGTCCGGCGTCAGGCGTACGAAGCCCTTCTTGACCTCGGTCGAGCCGCCGTGGATCCACGTGCCGTTCACGTAGCGCTGGCCGTTGGCGTCGATCTTGTCAAAGGGCCCGCCGAACGAGAGCGCTTCCATCTTGGCGCTGCTCACGACGGCCGTCGCCAGCACGAGCGCCCACGTGACGAGGTGCTTGAGCATGCCAAAGCGTCAAATTCCCAAAATGACCTTGACCTCCTCCGTCGGCGTATCCGGATGCCGCGTATTTTTATTCGGGTCCACGGCATTTTATAGTAGGGACGGCCACACGTTGCGATGCCACGTGTTCCGAATTTTTTTGTCAGATTTTATCCGGACAAGTCCGAATTTCAACTTTGCCGCCGTCGACTCTGTCTATGCGCACGCAACGCCACCGTCGCGGATCGTGGCCTCGACCCCGTCGCTCGGCCGACCTCTCGACCCCACGCGACTCTGTATGGGACGTAGTACTCTGATATCTCGTTGCCCATATGCAGCATGGAAAGTCGTCGACCGCGCTTGAGGATGGGGCAACGCATTTCGTGCTCGTCCGCATCCCTGGTCACACGACGCAGACGTCCGCGAACCTTGTACAACGTGGACCCACGCCCGTCGCAAGGTGGGATGCGGGGAGATATAACTCGGGTGCACGTTGCGTGGACGCCACCGCCGTCTGTACTCGGTTGCGCTGCCGTGGCCGCCACCGTCGTGTCGGGGTAGAGACGGAGTGGCGTGTTTTTATCCAACAGATCCCCAGGATGTGTTACCAACGCCACGCATACAAACGCGCAATGCGTTGCCACGCGGTCAATTAAACAGGCCGCGTTTAGTTTCGGCAAAGTCCGAATTTCAAATTGAAATTCGGCAGGATACGATGGGCTTCCGAGGACCATTTCGATTTGTGAAGCAAGATGGTGCGACTGCTGGTGCTCCTCGCCGCCTGCGTCGGCCTCGCCCAGGGCGCTGCGCTGCAGAGCCACTCGTTCCGGCCACCGTACACCAAGGTCGACTACCAAGGCGTCCGCGTCATCAACGACACGTGGACGACGGGCGGGACGGCCGAGGTCATGAAGAGCTTTGTGCGCCTGACGCCAGACCGCCAGAACCGCAACGGCCACGTCTGGAGCCAGGACGCGCTCGGCCGCGACTCGTTCTCGGCCGTGATGCAGTTCCGCATCTCTGGCACGGGCAAGAAGTGGTTTGGCGACGGCATCGGCCTCTGGCTCACCAGCTCGCCGTACGTGCGCGGCTCCAACCATGGCATCGACGCGGCCTTCAACGGTGTTGGCATCGTCATCGACACGTTCGTGAACCCGGAGCACAAGGGCGGCCACAAGGACGTGACGATCCAGATCAACGATGGCACCAAGACGCTCTCGACGCTCCAGGACGAGACCAAGATTGGCTGCGACGGCGCGTTCCGGTACCATGAAGACAGCGACGAGTTTGACGCGGTCTACTCGGCGTCGCGGCTGCGCTTCACGATCGAGCGCAACAACATCAAGGTCGAGATCGACCCCAAGTCCAAGGCCGAGTGGACGGCGTGCTACGAAGGCCAGCTGCCGTTCGCGGCCAACTGGCTCGAGACGGCGCGCATCGGCCTCACGGGCTCGACGGGCGGCCTCGCCGACAACCACGACGTGCTGAGCTTCTTGTCGTTCTCGGAGCCGAATGACATTGAGATGCAGCTCACCGACAGCGACGTGTACTGGAACAACTACTCGAAGGAGCACGACAGCATCCTCAACTCGGAGCACTGCGACCAGAGCTGCAAGCTCATCATCCTCGAGAAGGCGCTGGCGAACGTCAAGGTCGAGAACGAACACACGATGGTGTCGCTCCAAGAGAAGACGCGCAACTCGCTCTCCAAGGTCGCGGCCCGCGAGGCCGTCAACCAGGGCAAGATCGCCGAGCTCACGGACCGCCTCGAGCAGTACCTCAACACCAAGCTCGACGCGTCGACGCGCGACGTGGCCGGCGACGTCGAGTCGGCGCTGCACGCCAAGGTCAACGAGAAGGTCGAGGCCTCGACGGGCTGGAAGCTGCCGTTCTTCGTCCTCTTTGCCGGTCTTCTCGGCGCCGGCTCGTTTGTCTACAAGAAGTACAACGACCTCCGCAAGTCCCATTTGCTCTAAATTGAAGACCCTAACCCTCTCGCGGTCAATACTACGAAAACTAAGAATATGCGACGTGTATATATGAGTTCTTATCGCACGGCGTGCACGAGGCGCACCATGTGGGCGACGGCGCCGGCGTGGCGCGGGTACGGCGACTGCTTCCGGCCCGAAATCGGGTCGACACTCAGCCACGTGTGGTCTTGCAGCTGCCGGAGCAGCGGGCCGACGACACCATCGGCCTCACCTTCCTCGCCGCTGCCATCGTCGTCATTCGCCTCATCGGGACTCGGAAGCGTCGCGTCGATTGTGACGAGCAAGACAATGTCGGCGCGCATGTCGGTTGCGAGCGCGACGGCTAGAAGCGACGGGTCTTGGCCCACGCGGCACGTGGCATCATGCCCTACATCAATCATCATCAGCATCACGAGTCCTCGCCGTCCTCTATGCAAAAGAAGGGCTGTACCGGGGGCAGCATCCAAAGGACTCACGACGAGGAGGCCGCGCGCCGCGCCGGCCGCGAGCATCGTCTGCACGTTGTGCTCATCTCTTGCATCCAGCATGTGCATCTGCAGCTCGGGCGCGCGCACGAGGCTGCTGACGAGGCAGCGACGCACGGACGACGCGTACTTGGCGAGGCCGCCCGAGAGCTCGGCCGCCCAGACGCGACTCCAGAGCGCGGCTTCGTCGGAGGCGACCGGCGCGCCGACCTTGGTGATGCAGAGCACGCCCCGACTGCTCTTGCTCAACGTGTCGCGGCTCAGGACGTAAAAGGCCAGCGCCTTGGCCAGGAGCATCGCCATGTCCTCAGCGCCCAACGTCGTGGACGACGTCACGCAGACGTCGACGTCCATGAGCGACCCGCTGGCGTCAACGAGCGCGTAGACCAGCGTCGAGTTCACAAGCGCGTAGCCCAAGAACGCGTCGCAGCAGTGGTCCGCGGTCGCGAGCGCAAACAGCTTTTCGTTGACGTGGCTCGTGAGCGGCTTGGGCCCCGACGAGATCGCCATGGTATCGTACTGCAGCGGGACTTTTTCGTAAATCTTGTCGTAGAGCGCAAACGCGTGGTCGGCAAACGCGAGCGGCGACGGCGGCGCCAAGACGTCCGGCAAGTACAAGAGCTCGAGGACGACGCCGGCTTGCCAGTCGCATGGCATATTGGTGGCGGGGAAGAGACCCGCGGCCACGGCGCTGAGGAGCCGCGCGGCCAACGCAATTTCGTCGGGACTAAACGGCGCGACCACATACACCACGGTCGCGATCGCCGTGCGCGCAAAGGCTTGGGTCGTCGGGCCGTCGGCGAGGATGCGCGTGAGCTGGCCGGCCGCGGCGGCGTACGTCTGGAACGCATCGCGAGGCGACTTGCGCAGGAGCAAGATGGCGTTGTCGAGGTCGGCGCCGATCACATCGGTCGAGACACGCCAGCGCCCCGCGAGCTCGAGCGGCTCGTGGTCGCCCAGCGAGAGGTTCATGTACGCCGTGCGCACCGACGCGACGTGCGCCGCGGTCCGCGCCGCGAGCCAATGCGCGTCGGGACAGAGCACGACATAGTCGACGTTCTTCATCGGTCCGAGCGGCGCAAAGCCTCGCAGCGGCCACTCGGGCACGAGGTGCGGCGGCACAGAGAGGACGGCCTCGGCCTTGGCCACGTGCACATCGGGTATCCTCCCACGCAGCGTCGTTGTGGACGCGCCGCAGACTGCATCTGGTCCGAGCCAGGCCGCTGGCGACACGAGCATACGCGCCGCAAACGCCTCGACGTGCATGGCGACCGAGTGTGTCAAGAAGCGCTGCCGCTGGGCACTGTCGCTCGCCGCGAGGCCGCATGGGGCCGACGGCACCCAGCTCGACGGATCGAGCTTCCATCCCACCAACGCGTCCTTGGCGAGTAGGCGGAGCCCGAGCGTCACGTCAACACGAGGCGCTGTTGATGGCGGCGGCGCCGCGACCACACTCTGCGGCACGACAGACGACTTGATCGACGACGGTCCCGCCGACCCCGGGACGTTGTACGGCATGATCCCTACGGGCAGGTACCGTGCATCGTCCTTCACCGACGACAACGACGACGTCGAAGCATACGCGTGTGCGGTGCGAAGCAGTCCGGGCTTGGCACGCGTGGGAGCTGTCTCGGCGTGCAACTCCTTGGCAACGGTCGTCGCAAGCGTGGTTAGCATCGCGTCGGTGACGGCGACCGGGCGCGGCGGCAGCGGCAGCGGCACGACAGTGTCGGCTTCGTCGGCGGTGCTGTAGTACTCGCTCTCGTCGTTGTTGCCGGTCTTGGGGACGTCCTTGGGCACGCGCAGCAGCACGCGCCACGCACTCGTTTCCGCCTTTGTCCCGAGTCGCTTGGCCGAATGTTTGGCTTTTCGCGTGGTCTTGGCGCTGGGCACGAACGCGTGCACGCGCCGGCTCGTGGTCAGCGGCGCGTCAGTGCCGACGCCTGCAAAGTCGACGCAGAGCAGCTCGTGCTTGACGCCGAGGTCGGGCGAGATGGGCGTCAGCGCCTCCTACACCCAGATGACTCTCCAGATGAACGGCGGCGCAGTACGTACGTCGTCGGTCGTGTGCGGCTGCGACGGCGACGTCGACCGCGAGGCCGGGAGTTTCGGCCGCTTCGGGTCCAGCGCATTGGGCGAAAAAGGCGGCGGTCGCTCCGGGCTGCTCGCTTGGCTCTCCGACGACATCTTGGCCATGCGCGGGCGCTTGGCGACGCGGAACCGGTCCTTCTCGACAATGAGTGGCGTCGGCGTCGCGGCCAACACGCCCGTGACGCTGACGTCCCGCATCGTCCAGACGTCGATGATGCTCTCGGCGCCAAAACCTTCGCACGGCAGCGCCTGCAGTCGCTTCCAGAGCATGCGCGGGTACTCCAAGCCTTGGGCGGTCGAGAGCAGCGCCTTGCGGAAGACGACGACATGCACCCAGACGGCGTTCGACGGCGAGAGCGTGGCGTGGATCTGGAACGCCGGCGTCGGCACGTCCGCGTCGACGTGCGTCTCCCACGTGTTTTCGCGGTTCGCCGAGAGCGTTCGGAACGTGAACGTGGGCTCATTCGACACGAGGTAGTCGGCCTCGGCGCGAAACGCAGGGACACCCGATGCATCAAGTGCGCCCGACCACGCGACCCGCGCCTGCTGCAAGAACCACGCCCGCAGCTGCCGCTCAATCGCAGCTACAAACATGCGCAAGACGTCTTCGTCTCGGTCCATATCGGGCGTCCACGCGCCGGCGCGGGTCTCTAGCATCGCGTTCAGCACAGCATCCTCATGTCGCTACCGTACCGAGCCCATCAAACTCGGAGGGTACGACGTGCGGCGTGTCTTGGAAGTTGACTGTGAAGGACCAGACGCAGTCGTCCGCGACGCTCACAAGAAGCGGCCGCCGGTGCTCGCTGTCCGCCCACGCGAGCAAGCGCGCGTTTAGGCCGCGGTCGCCGCTGGGACCGAAGACGCGGTACTCTAGCCGCGTGACCTCGCCCTAGAGGTAGATGTCGACGCCATGAGCCGTCGCCGACGTCCATGCCATGCGGTCATGCGTCATTACCAAGGACCATGCATTCGATCGCATCTCGGTCGTCCTCACGCTTGTGGTCCCAACGAGTGGAATTTTATTCGGGCTACCCGTGACGCCGTGGTGTTTTTATAAAACAATCAATGTCCCATAGAAAAAGAGTGTTTCAAAAGATGCAATGTATTTTATTCTCGTGTGATCAACTTTTATATTGCATGCCATTTTCGCTTTCCACGGCTCTACCGGAACTGCCCGACGGTGTCGCCGCCACCACGGCCGGCTGACGAGGAACTGAACGGGCGCCCATGCAGCCGCATGCGACCCTTCCTCTCTTCGTCAGGCCAAGGACAGATGGCGGCGTTGACGCGGCTGGTCCGGCCACCCATGCATGCAGCGACAGCCTGGTCGGACGCGATCGTCACGTAGCCACAGCGTACTCGACGCTGATGGCTGCACATTGGATGGCCAGCAATCGGCATTGCGATGGCCTCGCATGTCGCCTACGCCATGCGACCTCAACAAGAACACGCTGCTGCTGATGGAGCCGTCCATGGCACAAGCCGGCCGAGGACACACGATACATGCATGTATACTTAAAGAAGAGACTATCAGGAGCCGCGAGCGAGCGGGGTGCGAGGCCACTTAAGGCGTCGTTGCCGCGTCGGTCGTCGAGAGCTCAAAGACATCCCAAATGTTGCCGTTGACAAAGTTGTTGTCGACGATCGAGACCAAGAAGAACGTGTCATGGACCTCCTTGAGGAGCGCGTAGGAGGCCGAGTTTGTCTCGTAGAGCGATCCCCAGAGCGAGAGCCAGAGGCTGAACGCCTCGTCCTTCCAGGCCATGAACGAGTCCGTGTCGACGATCGTGGGCTGCAGAATCTCCTTGTTCGGGAACGAGCCCCACGTGACGGCGGTCGTGCCCTTGCCCACGTTCGAGTACGAGTTGCCGTGCACGTCGACCGCGTGGTACTGGACCCACTTGAGCTTCGAGACCTTCTCGATGATGTGCTTGAGGTTCGCCGGCGACACAAAGCACTCGACGTACGCCTTTTGGTAGACGCGGCCGCCGGGCCCGCCCCAGCCAAACATCGGGTCGTCCGAGGGCGCCGCGTTCACGCGCGGCTGCGAGTTGATGGTGAGGAAGCCCGCGCGGTTGAGGCCCGCGAGCAGCTCCTGGATCGACTTGGTCTCGAGATGCAACGGCGTGTCGCACCACGGCAGACTCTTGAGCGCGCCCATGCAGTAGCGTGTAAACGTCTCGTAAATGTCGTCGAGTGACGTCGGCGCGTCGCCCCACATGGCCTTGCGGTCCGCAATCGAGTGCGTCGCGTGCATGTAGTGCGACTCGCTGAGGTCGCCAAACGCTGGCGACTTCGGACGCGCCCCACCGGCCGTTGGGAAACTCGTCCCAGCTCGACGTGCGGTCGAGGTAGCTCTTCGGGCGGTTGGCCCAGAAGATCGGGCGCACCGACTCGGACACGCGCTTGATCATGGTCGACGGCCGCCACGGCAGCTCGCGGCGCGCCGACGAGATGAGGTCGAGGCCCTCAAGGATCAATCGCGTTGAGCGCTCGAGGTTGAGCGTGTACATGTGGAGGCCTGCGACGCCTGCCTCGAGCAGCTCCTTGCACATTTGGATGCCGAGCGTGACGCCATAGTCCTTGACCGCCTCGTCGTTGTCCTTGATGGGCGCGAGCGCCTCGTGGATCGCGGCCGGGATCGTCTTGCAGCACATGGCGCTCATGCGCGTGAACCCGAGGTAGCTCTGGATGGGCATGATGCCCGGCAGGATCGGGCACGATATGCCGATGGCCCGACACCGGTCGACGAACCCGAGAAAGATTTTGGCGTCGTAAAAGAGCTGCGAGACGACAAAGTCGGCGCCCGCGTCCACCTTTTCTTTGAGATGGCGCAGGTCCTGCTCGAGGTCGGTCGAGTCCGGGTGGCCTTCCGGGTACCCGGCGACCGCGATGCAAAAGTAGTCGCCAAACTCTTGGCGAATGTACTTGACGAGGTCGAGCGCATACGAGAAGCCGCCGTCGCACTCTTCAAAGGTCGTCTTGCCGCGTGGCGGGTCGCCGCGCAGCGCGAGGATGTTTTGAATGCCCGCGTCCTTCGCCGCGTCCAGCGCGTTCTTGATGCTGCCGCGGCTCATGTTGGTGCACGTGAGGTGCATGAGCATCTCGAGCCCCGAGAACTTTTGCACGTTGGCGCTGATTTCGAGCGTGAGCTTGTCCGTGGAGCCGCCGGCGCCCCACGTCATATCGCAGAAGAGCGGGTCCATCTGCGCCATGCAGTCGATGCGCGAGTAGAGGTTCGTCACGCCGGCCTGCGTCTTGGGCGGGAAGTACTCGAACGAGTAGAACGTCTCGTCCTTCTCGAGCTTGGCACGGATCTTGTCGATGATCTTCATGCTGCAAATTGCCAACTGGCACGAATCTCGAACTCTAAGATCGCAATGATTGCGCATATGTCGCTCTCTTGCGTTTTGTATACTTGGGACGACGCCGGGTCCAGGCATACAAAACGCAAGTCGTTTTGAAACGCCTGTCGACCATACAAACACCAAGTGTACTCGCCGTCACTCGACCGCCATACATTGGCGCAGAGAAGGTTCCCCGTCGGGTGACATACAAAAAACGAGATAAAACGGCCACGCCATACAAACACCAAGAGAAATTCCGCGCCCAGCTGGAATGCAACACGCATACAAAAAGCTAGTCAGCTGGAAGCAGATGGGCCCGCCAGGAGGCACGGTAAACCAGGCGTGTTGTACGTACGGCAACGAACGTACGTTGATTAACTTAGTTTTTGTAAACCAAATACGCAATGTACATTGGACGAAGGAGAAAGATCGCTAGTTTGGCTGCTTTTGGGCGGGCGACAATCCTGTTGAAGTTGGCCACGCCCAAGTGCAAGGAGCGGATCCACGGGACCGAAACAAGGGACTGTTGGTGTTTATTATAGGTACACATGGGAATTGAAGTGGCCATTCCTGTGGTCGTCTGCGAGTGCGGTATGCTGCAGAGGCACTCGGATGCTTCTTGCCATTGCGAGGTGCTTCACCACGTCAACTTGCTGCGATTGGTGGAGGCGCAAGAGAGTGGGAGTTCACGCTGGCGTGACGTGGCAATGTGTGACTCGTGGTGACAAAAACGCGTTTTTACGTGGATTTCGACACGTTAAAGTACCATGGACCGAGCCGTCGGGGTGATGACTGGATGCGTTTGAGAATGAATCAGCCCCGCCTCCGAGGTGCGAGAGCGACGTGGCTGAACTCGGGTCTTTGCTGCAACGCGTCGGCGTCGACCTTCACGCAGTACGGGAAGTACTTGGTTTGGTGGTGCTCGCAAGGAATCTGGCAGTGTTTAGTGTCAGGTTGGTGGAGCCAAGAAGCCCGATCAACAGTGCTACAAGACGCCCCACTGCAACTAGGACGTAGTAAACTTATCTATCTTTATTGCTCAACATCTCGACGATTCGTATGAGCGGCACGTTCTGCGTCATTCATAGCTTCAAACATAATTATGTCTTCATCGTCGTACGCGTCTCGGGAGCTCTGGAGACAGGAGAGCACACAGGCAAGGACGAGGCTCATCGCCCCCAGCGCGACTGCCGACGCTGCGAGTGCATTTGCATCGCGTTGGATCTTGGCGGGAAACGTCGTGTGGTAGCATACGTCCGCGAACGTCGTCCCGAATTCCGGCTTCATCGTGGCATAGCGGCACGCGGGGCTCAGCTCCGGGTAGACCTTCGGGCTGCTGTACGAAATGCAGAAGGTCGAAAAAATATCGACCCACATATTGCGTACGCAGTTGTCGTCGATCCAGTCGCTAAATGCCGACGGCTCGTGCATCCGTTGGCAGCCGTCGCAGAGCGCGCTCAACGTCGGATCGGCCGTCAAGACACTTGGTGCCACTTGGTCGCAAAAGTTGGTCAGCGTCGTCGAGTTGGTCATTGGGACGTCAAAAAAGGTTGCGTTTCTCGCGGCGCTTTGAAGCAGGCTGCTAGTGCTGTACGTCGCGTTGATGACCCCGAACCGGACGACCGCACGCATCGGGAAGCTGTCGCAGTAGACGTGACCGCGCTTGGCGCAGTACGCTTCGTCAAAGCGCTGCCGGAGTGCAGCATCGTTGTCCGTTGATGAACAGTCGACATTCCTTGGCGGCTGCCAATAAAGGTTGTACGGTGGGTAAGCGCCGCGGTAGTTGCCCCTTTGCAGGAAGCTCTCTTCGTCCAGCGTAAGCTTCGTGACGATATCTGGATCATGCGCGCACATAAAGGCAGCGATAGCGATGGCCGTGAGGAGCGCGACGTGGAGCAAGCTCAGCCATATGAGCGGTGTCAGCGTCGCCAGCTTGGACGCGCGAAAGACGTACACAAGAGAGAGGATACAAACGACGAGGCTGGCGCCAGCGCACGAGAGCAACACGGCGCCCGAAAGGTACGGTAACATGTACGAAGAGGACCCGAGCGCGATCAGGACGATGAGATTGTAGAGCAGCACGAGGCTGGTGGCGCCAAGAAAGACGCGGAGCTGCCACGAGAGCAGAAGCATGCTCGACAGAGGCAATTGACAACTGTCCATTTAGAGTGTCATCCACGCGCGACATGTTGACGACATCCCACGTCATCCGCTCTGTCCACGCGAGAGGTGGATTCAAGATGGGCATAAACCGTGGTTGTTGTTGTTGAAATGAGTCCTCTCGTTATTTTACGGATTAAGGGTCCTATATCTAGGGTCGTCCTACCTCCGACCTAATATCCGGTAGGCACGATTTTCCGGCATATGCTGTTTCTTTGCTTCTTCCGTGTGTTCCTTGTGGCACTTGCCGAGCGTGGCCTTATTATGGTGACCGTCTTCAGTGACATTCGTGTCCGGATGGGGGGGGAGTCCGGATAGAAAAATCGGCGCGTCGGGAATCGAACCGGCGACCTCGGGAGGCAGAAGCAGGAATCATACCGCTCGGCTCAAGCGGCCCCCCTGCATAAACCGTGGTTGTCATACGCTGGGTTCCACTCCCACATGCTGATATCGCGATGGACATCGGCTCCAAATGTGGACACAAGAAAAGAGTCCTGTGTTTCCTCGTGCACCGCGGAGAAGGTAGCGCCCTTTGACTTACACGGGTCCTATTCTGTCATAGACCACCCGAGTGTTGTTGTTCAATGGCACGCGACAGCGTCGGCAGATTTATGCCAAATTATGCTCTGCTCGGTACGTTGTCAAAACGTACCGTGTGATCCTGAATGGATTCAAAAATCAAGACGCCGTATCCGGATATAATAAAACCATCCGGTTACCGGTACGGTACCTTGATGACGCTTTGCTTTTGCTCCTTTGCTCCGAGACCGTAGTCAAGACAAGTGGTCGACTTCTTTTCGTTGGTAGACACCGGTGTACCACCAAGTAGAGCCTCACTTTCTCATTACCGCCATGACTGCGTTAGTCCGATAATGAGGCACCCGGCGTTGTAGGGTTCCGCACGACTTGCCGAGGGGATGGTATACTATATTAGCGCGATGCGCAGTGATGAATGCATTGTGGTCGATCGTCTGCCACCTACGTACCGGTACTAGCGTTTTTTAGCGCCCACCATAAAATCTGGAGGTGGCTGCATGACGCTCTTGGGCAATGATGAAGCCATCCCGGAGCGTTCTACGTCGAGTAACAGGGGTATTTGAATGGAGTTGACTGCAGGCCACTTCTTGCCCCTTCGTCGTGAATGGCTCGACTCGCTGACGCTCACTTTAGCATTTGCAATCATAGCCAAAGCAAGATACAAGTCGGTGGTACTCATTGGGTTGCATTGCCTAACTTTTACGACAGCGCCAAAACCATTCATAAATACGTATCAAAAGCTACTCGATGGTCGTCGCTGGTGATGGTTGCGTCATGGCTTCAAACATCAGTGCGTCTTCTTCGTCCACCGTATCCCGCGAGCCTTGGAGTCGACCAAGCACAATCGCGACGACGAGGCTCATCACGCCCAGCGCGACCGCTGAGGCCGCTAGTGCATTTGCATCGCGTTGAACCTTGGCGCTAAATGATCCGTTGTAGCACACATCCGCGAACGTCGAGCTATGTCGTGGCTTCATCATGGCGTAGCGGCACGCGGGGCTCAGCTCCGGGTAGACCTTCGGGCTGCGGTACGAAATGCAGAAGGTCGAAAAAGTATCGATCCACGAGATCGATTCGCAGTTGTCATCGATCCAGTCGCCAAACGCAGACGTCTCGTGCATCCGTTGGCAGCCGTCGCAGAGCGCGCTCAACGTCGGCTCGGCCGTCAAGACACTTGGCGCCACTTGGTCGCAAAAGTTGGTCAGCGTTGTCGAGTTGGTCATCGGGACGTCAAAGAAGGTTGAGTTGACCGAGGCGCTTGTAAGCCGCACAGTAGTACCGGACGTCGCGTTGATGAGCCCGAACCGAAGGACGGCGCGCATCGGGAAGCTGTCGCAGTAGACATGACCGCGCTTGGCGCAGTACGCTTCGTAAAAGCGCTGCTTGAGTGCCATGTCCTTGTCGGCCGTTGATGGGCACTTGAAATCATCCGGTTCATACCAGACATATGTGAATGATGGGTAGGCTCCGTCGAACATCATGACCTTCAGGAAGGCACGGTCGCTGGTAGCGCGCTGGAGAAGTGGCTCGACGTCATGCGCGCACATAAAGGCAGTGACAGCGATGGCCGTGAGGAGCGCGACGTGCAGCAAGCTCAGCCATATGAGCGGCATGAGCGTCGCCAGCTTGGACGCGCGAAAGACGTACACAAGAGAGAGGAAACAAACGACGAGGCTGGCGCCAGCGCACGAGAGCGACACGGCGCCCGGAAGGTACGGTAACATGTACGAGGACCCGAGCGCGATCAGGACGATGAGATCGTAGAGCAGCACGAGGCTGGTGGCGCCAAGAAAGACGCGGAGCTGCCACGAGAGGAGAAGCATGCTCGGCAAAGGCAATTGACAACTGAAATGACCGCGTGGACGTCGTTTCTCTCCTTCAACCACGTAATCCAATACAAATGCTCTGTCCACGCGAGAGGTGGATTCAAGATGGCCATAAAACCTGGTTGTCATACGCTGGGTTCCACTCCCACAAGCTGATATCGCAATGGACATCGGTTCAAAATGTGGACACAAAAAGAGTCACGTGTTCCCTCGTGCGCCGTTGTGAAGGTAGACACGTCCTCTGACTTGACATATGTCTTGTTTCATGCTCGCGAAGCAGTCGGCAGATTTATGTTCTGCTCGGGACGTTGTTTTTGGTGGTTTTTGGTACAGTATTGACGTTTGATCCTGAATGGATTCAAAAATCAAGGGCAATCGTATATTCTGGAAGTTGATAACGTTGGCTACCCCGGTACGAGACATTCACCACCGAATGACGCCGTCAATGGTCGATTCGTTTTGTGTGGCAGGCATCACTTGTCGAGGTGATGGTACGTATTAGAGCAAGGCTCAGGGAGGGAGGCATGGTAGCTGATCGTCTGCGACCTACAGGCCAACAATAGAGATTTAAAATAAACGGCAAGCAATCCTATTTTAATCGGAGCTCGCATGACGCTCTTGGGCAAGGACGCTGACCCGGCCGAGGTGACGGTCCATGCGACGGGCCTCTCTTCGTCCCCGCCAAAAGCGCTGGCCGAACGACAGCAGCACGTGAGCGTCGGTCAAATGCTCCAGCGCCAACACCGCGACTCGTTCAGCGACTCGGAGCCCGTTGCGGCAGTAGCATCCAGCGGCACCGTCGCCGACATCAAGAAGGCAGAGCCGGCACCAACACCCGTCATCACGCCCTCCGTCGTCCCCAAGCTCACGGACCACGTCCGCAACTTTCGTCAAGTGCTCCAGGAGCTGGTCGCGCAAGGGTACGTGATCCGATGCGCCGGTCTTTGTACTTATCGGTACACAGGGCCATTGTCACCACCAACAAGGCGCTGTACACGCAGCAAGGCAACTTGGCGTTCTACACGCGGGTAGGATGGCGGCGTGGTTTCTCACAGAATCCTCACATTTGTCTAGAAAAACGTCACTCGGCGTCTGCAGCTGCGCGGACACCCGGAGCTCATTCGGCTCAGTAAGCTGTTTTGGGCGACCGTGGTGCCGTCGATGGTCGAGACTATGGACTTTCACCGCTACGAGCAAATTTTTCTCCGGATCCACAAAGTGCTTGCCAAGATCTACCGCGTCGAAGCCGGTGCCATCAACCTCGAGGTGATTTTTGTGTACTTTTTTTCCATGTCCGATAGTTTCCATTCTAGGACGACTGGCGACGCGACACGAACGGCAATTGTCGAGGCTTGAGCTACGAGCTCTTCCACGCGGCGTTGTTTGAAACCATCGGTAGCGCGCATATTCCGAGGCCCGTGGCACTGTATGTGGCTACTAGATATTTGGTGCAACTCGGTCAAGGTCCAAGATGTAACTTGTCCTTGTCGCTTGATGTTGTCGTGATGCATTTGCGATAGTACATCAATCTATTGGCGTCGCTTCTCGATGGTATCACGCGCCTGAACAAGGAAGACAGCGCCTTTCTCAAATCCCTTCGAGGTCCGAGTACACACATCGTACTTGAGAACGCACGAGGTGTTTTGTTTAGACATTCGTGCACTCGATTCAAAAGCTCGGCCGCTCTCAGCGCCGTCGGCGCGAGCCAAATCCACGTCGCCGATCAAACCGATTGCTGAAGAGGCACCGTTTCTGAAGAAAATCAAGCCCGAAAAAAATCCACCCCCCAGTGCCCCCCGACGGCCGTCCAAGTCGCCCACCAAGCCACCGACGTCGAATCACGTACCCACAACCGCAAAAACAACAGCGCAGTTATCACCGACCCGCCTCGGTAGCGATTTCTTCCTGCATTGGACAAGAAGACATAACGTTACATCTTGTAGGGCTCGTCAATGCAGCGACGCAAACGAGTTTGACGTCTCTTCACGCGCAAGTCCCGTCACCTCCAGTCTCCGAGTCGTCCGATGAAACAACGACGCGTCTACCAACGACAACAACGACAACAGCGTCCAGCTCGTCCAAGACACCTAGTCCAACGAGAAGTAGCCCTTCCAAGCCAACGAGTCGACCAAAGACCAGCCCATCGCGACCAGCAAGTCCACCTAAAAGCAGTGGTTCCACGACTGCATCACCGAGTCCATCCAAAGCGACGCTTGACGCTGGCGGTGACCGACAGCAAATGGTGCCGAGCCCCCCGAAGCCAGACCGACCGCGTCCCAAATCGTCCCCACTCAAGCGCAGTACGCCATGGACGCCTCCACAGGGCTACAACAGCAGCATCGTATACGTCGACATCAATGGCCACGCGATACCACCCATCAACTTTGAGTTTGACGTGGAAAATCCGCCGCTGCCGCGCCCGCACTCGCCAATGCGAACACGGCCAGCATTTCGCCTCGGACTCTCGACGCCGCGACTGCCCGAAACCATCGAGATGGACGTCGAAGGTCACTGCGTGAAGACGACGAGTGCGGATGCGCCACGCGGCGTCGCCACGTGGCAGTACGAAGAAAAACAAACGTGGAGCGGCTGCCCGAGTGCACGTCGTCGCCGCTCAAAGGAGCGATTTTGTTTTCTCCCTCCACGTACCCGATCGAGCACCGCTGGGTCAAGCGCAGCCAGGCCCGCGCCTTGCACGAGCTCAAAAAGACGCACGATGACGCGCCGCTGTACGACTACTTTCACACGTCGCCACCCCACGAAGACGAGCGTGTGGCGCGAGAGCTGGACCACTAGTTAAATTCGTTGTTCTTGCATTCGACGAAGGGTGCGAATATGATTTGGATTTCTCCACAAACAAGCAAAGACGTCGCTGCTAATAGTCGTTTCCACATCGCCAAAATGATTTTTAAACTTGTTGGGAAGCGTGACGTGCCTGAAACTATATGTATTTACAGTTAGTACATGTTGGTGGGTCTAACTAGTGGAAACACCACGTTGTCGCCGCCTCGAGTGTCGACACCCGACTTGTACCTTGAATGCACCGAGCGACCCCATGGACCCTTGTGGCAACGACGCTAGTTCCTCGTGTACTCAACGCATGGAATGACCCAAGAAAGTTGTCAAAATTGTCTATTTCTGAGCGTTAAAACGCATGCCTCTTGGAAAAAAGCGGTCACATCCGGCAACGTCATGGCCGTCCTGAGCCGCCGCCCGAAACTCAAGCAGCTCCAATCGCTCGAAGACGTATTTGCTACCCTCGATGAGACGCCGTCGCTTGTCGACACGGTCGTTGGCGCCAAGGCAGGCGTCCAGAGTCTTCGGTCGCCGTCCAACTTTGACATTCGCCAGGCGTTGGCCAGTGTCCATCGTCAGGCATCATCCTCGTCGCTCAGCCCGAGTGGTCGCAAAGACGCGGCCCCGACCGTGCCACGTCTGCTGGGGCACACCAACACACTGCGGCGCGTCATCGAGCACCTCGTTCGCGACGGGTACGGTGCAATCTCTGAAGAGACAACGATGTGCGAGGTAGCAAACTGGGCGATGCGACGGAGCCGTACGACCGCCAAGGCAACGAGGCCTACTACACGAACGTAACACTTTGTGCGAGATGAAGCCGCACATACTCAGAAACGCGGACAGGAGAACGTGGCGCGCCGCTTGGGCATTCGCTACGACCCGACGCTGCTGCGGCTCACTCGTCAGTTTTGGGCCGCGGTCGTGCCGTCAACTAAAGACACCATGGACATCGAGAGCTACCAGCGCCTCTACCTTCGCATCCACAAGTATTTGATCGAGCGGTTTGACATTCGAGACTCGAAAGCCAAAATTCAAGTAAGTCGATTATAGACCCTCGTCTCATTCGGATGACTAATTACTTGCTAGGACGACTGGTTGCGGGATACGAACAACGACAGCAGTTCGCTCGACTACGAGCTCTTCCACCTCTCTCTCTTTGAGCTCATCGGTACGCTTTCGTTCTCATGTCTTTGTCACTCCAGTTGCATAGATTTGTGGTGCGACTCGCTCGATGCCAACGATGTAAAAACGACATGATGGAAAAGTTGTCTGTCACTCGGGACTCACATGCTGTCTTAGTACGTCCGCCTCTTGTACGCGATACTGGACGGCGTCTCGCACGTCGAGCACGGTCGAATTCACCTCCGCAAACTCCGCCGTGCGCTCCCATGGCGGCATCAGCGACGCTAACCCGGCGACGTTGCGTAGACGTCCGCTTCCGCGACGTGGCCCTCGCCGTCAAGCGCGTGTCGACGGCCTCTGTGCACTGGTATTTGGATGCGATGGACGCATTGCGCGTACCCGCCAAGATCGAGAGCCAAAGCCGTCTCGTAACCTCCAAGCACGCAGCGGTCCACCGGCGGAAAACAACGTTGGGTGCCATCCAAGTGGCGCAACGAACGGGGCGGTCGTCGCTCAGCAGCAACAGCTTGCGCGCGCCTACACCGCCCGGCGGCACCAATACCCCAAATGCGCCAGCGCGTAGCCCGTCCCGACCCGCGTCGTCGCCGCCAACGCGTGCGCGCAACGCGAACGACAGTTTGTACGTCGAGCCTCAGTCGCGCGCCGCCAACAGCCCGGGCACGCAAGAGACGGTCGGCGCGTCAGCGGCCATCGAGCGTCCGTCGACAGCACTGGGTGCGATCAGTACGAGTGCGGCGACGCCCCAGCTCGACATTGCCGGCCGCTGCGCACCCTTGAACGCTGCCAAGTCCCCGCGCCGGAGCACACTGACGGACCGCCAACCCGAGGCGATTCCGCCGTTAAAAGACGCACTTATGCACCGCGCCGCCTCAAGACGCGACTCGGCCGAAGCGCATAGGGCACGCCGCAGCCACGCGCGGGCCGAGCGCGAGCGGCGACGGACCCACCACGAAGATATTAAGCAGGCGCCCCACTACGTCTTGGACTCGTAGCGAAATCGACTCTACAAACACGTTGTCGCCATAGAGTCACTGCTAGAGCTCGCTGCTGCGCTGCGTGGTCGGCGCCATGGGTTGCGCCGTTGTGGCTGGTTGGATCCGATCCTACTGCGGTATCATTGGCGCGTTCCAATCCGGATACCATCCATGGACCAATCCGCACATGGTCTATCCGGATTGCTGACGACCAATGGTAGCAACCTCAGTCGTGTGTGCCAGAGGTCACAAGATCATGTCGACGACCAAGGCCGAGAAGTTCGTGCGCCTGCTGAGCGCCAAGCTCAATGAGCTGCCCCACCTGCCCTTCTCGCAGGCCGAGCTGCGCGAGAAGCTCGAGACGGCGGTCGCGTCGCTGCCCAGCTCGGGCCTGAAAGGCCTCCTCCAGCGCGACATGGAGCACTACGTCGCGCTCTTCCAACAGACCGTGACGGCGACCGCCGCCGCGCCGGCCTCGGACCGCTGCCTCGCCGAGCAAGAGTACGACCTGCTTCTGCAGGCCACGCACGCGACCAAGCTCGTCGAGATGCCCGTGACGCCCGCCGAAGTCTTCTTCAACTACAGCGTGCCAACGACTCTCGACGCATCGACCGCGTCGCCGACCGAGCTCGTCGACGCGGTCGAGCAGATCTGCACGGCGCTGGCGCACGAGCTCGCGACGAACGGCCTCGTGTCCGCCTTGCCGTCGCTCCAGGAGCCGGGCCACGCCGTTGCGCTCTACGTCGCCAAGCTCCTGCCCCTTCTGCACGCGTATCTCGAGCGCATGGCGACGCGCACTACTGGGTTTGAAGCCAGCGACCGCCTCCAGTCGCTGCTGCTCGACACGCTGCGGCTCGTGGGCTTCCACCGGCCGCTGCCGACGCCGTCGACGCCGTCGGTCGTCGCGTTCTACACGCCGGCGCCGACGACCGAGGCGTCATCGTCGGCCACCGAGACCCATGCGCTCGCGCAGCTCTATGCGGTCACGCTGATCCTCGTCCTCTTCTTTCCCGCGCCGTCGGCGGCCGTCGACTCGGACGATTCGGACGACGACGACGACAGCACGCCGGCGCCGACGACGACGACGCCCGAAGCGTTTGTCAGCGATGTGCTTGCGGTCGCGTATCTCGAGGCGAAAGGTTGGCTCGTCGACGTGGTGCTCATGGCGCTGTCGCTGCCGCGGCCGGCGTCGGCTGTCGCCGCCAAGGACGCGCCGCTCACCCGCCTCGTGCTCCAGGCGCTGCGCACGATGAGCTTCGATGTGGGCATGGGCCGCCAGGTCTTCTTGACGCACGTTGCGTGCCTCCGCAAGGCGCGCGCGTACCTCAAGACCGCGCGCCTCGGCCAGTGCCACGAGCTCTCGAGCCTGATCACGCAGCTCACGAGCCTCCCCGTGCCCTTCAAGCTCCTCGACTGGCTGCAGCTTGTGGCGCTCAGTACGTCTCGTGTCTTTTGTGACCGAACATGGTGCGAATCAAATGCCATCGTAGGCGCACTCTCCGACGCGTTGCGGGCGCAGGTCCAAGCCGTCTTGGCGACCGAGAAGCCGATTTCCGTCGACTTGCTCTCGACCAAGTGGACCGACGACGACATTCTCGAGCTCCTCGAGGTGCGCATCTTGTCCGCCACCACGATAACTGTCATGTCTCATACTCTTTTTTGTTATAATTGATTAGAAAGTCCAGAGCCAGTCGTCGGTGGTCGAAGCAAGTGCGGACGATGCGGTCGATGCCGAGACGCTCGCGGCGCCGGACGCCGACATGCCGCTCTTCTACGTCGACAGCACGGGCGCCAACAACTAACTACGTTCGAGTCCGTCTTATTTGCCCCACCCCAAACGATTTGCCTCTCCAAAAAGTGTCTTCTTGTCCACAAAACAGCACATACACAGTGCATCATTCCGTCGTCGTGTTCGCAACTTAGCGGAATTTGTACCGAATGTACGGCAGCTCGAGGTCTTCGCCGTCGAGGTCCGTCGCACACACCTCGAGGATGAGGTACTTTTGGTGAGCGGCAGTGCGTGCTTGGTGATCGACGTCACGAGCTCCGAGATCGGCATCGCCATGCGCTCCTTCGAGCGCGACTTGGCCGAGTACATGGCGTAGAGGATCGTGACTCCAAACGAGAGCATCGACACTTCGGCGCCGTACGTCTCTTCAAAGTACGCCAGGAGCGCCTTGAGCGTCATGTCGCCCTGCGCCATCTCGAGCCGGTCCCACGCGGTCCACTTGTACTCTTTCTCCAAGAGCATCGTGGTCGTCACCTTGGGCGCGATCGGCTCGGAGAATGCAAACAGCGGCAGCGCGAGGTTCACAAAGCCATTCTTGTACGCCTCGAGCGGCTTCTTGAGGAAGACCTTGATGAGCTCGAGGCACACGAGGCCCGTCACGAGCGCCGTCGTCGTCGCAATCGCCGGGATGATCTTGCCCGCGATGAAGCGCGACTGGTGCAAGTCGGCCTCCTGGATCTTGTACGCGCGCGCGCGGAGGTTGGACGTGGCCACGATCACACGCATGTGCGCGTCGTCGTCCTTATCAAACTCGATCGGGTGTAGCGTCACCGCGCATGGCGGTGGCAGCGCCACGTTGCCGCCGCCGTCATGGTTCGTCTTCATCTCTTCGTCGTTGGCCGCAATCTTGACGCCGTCCCGAGGCACGAACGCAGGGACGTGCACGTTCTGGAGGATCGACGCCCAGTCGCCCGTCACCGGAAGGCCATACACTTGGGCGCGGGCCGCCGCGACCGACGCAATAAACTCGCCGTGCAACGGGTCCGACGGCGAAAATGCAATCGGCGTCGGCGCGCGCTTCGGGCCCGACCAAAACGGCGTCCCGGTCGTCGTCACTTGGTCGAGCGGGAAGTTGTGCAGCAGCTGCTTGAGCGAATTCGAAAAGAGCTCTTCAAACTGAAGCCGCGCATACGCAACACAGTCGTCGTACGATTTGGGGGCTTCCGAGAGCGACGCGGCGAGGCGCTCAAACGTCTCGGCGCTCGCGTTCTGCGCGTGGAGCTTGGCGACAAAGTCGGGGGTCGACACGTACGCATTGACATCGCTCGGCGACTGGAAGAACGTGCCTTCAAACCAATCGCGCGCCCACTGCAGCGTGTGCTCGATCGCGTTCGGAAAGTTCTTGAGCGTGCAGATCGGAATGCTCTTCTCCGGCGGGTCGCGCGACGCGCCATAGTTCTCCGTCACGTGCGGGACAACGACCTGCGTGTTGCCCTTCGTGCCCAGCGTGCCCGACTCGAGCATCGGCAGCCCGTAAAAGAGGCAGCGCGCGTCCATGTACAGTCGCGCCTGGACGTTGTCGAGGGCCGTGCAGACGCCCGAGAGCTGCTCGTAAAACGCATCGTCAAAGAGCGCTTCGGTCTCGTCGCCGACGCGCGCGACATGCGCCGAGACACGGACGTTTGGGTTGATGCTGCGGATGGCCTTGGCCGCCGTCGTCGACTTGGCCGAGCCCACGTCCGTGCTTCGAAATAGAAACTGGCGATTCAGATTCGACTTTTCAATCAGATCCATGTCGGTGAGATGGATGCCGCCGCCCGACGACGTCCCGAGACCCATGAGCGCCCAGTTCTTGAGCATCTCGCAGCCGATCGCACCGGCGCCGACCAGAAAGAGACTCAGGCCCTCGAGCATGCTCTGGATCGATTGGCCAAACACTGCAATCTGGCCGTCGTAGCGCGAGTCGCGCGGCGCGCACTCCTCGACTGTCAACGGCGACGTCGGAAGACACTCCATCGCGTCAAAGTAGAACCACTGGTGGATCGGCGTAAACTTGCCCGAGCACGCTTTCAGCGCTTCTTGCCCGACGATACCGCCGAGGAGCGCGGTCATGGGCGCCACGACGCCGCGCGCCGACCGCGCCAGCGACTTGACGACCTCTTCGCTCGCCTCGGTCCACTCGATTTCGATCGACTTGATGTTTTTGGCGAGCGCGAGCACTTGCGCAGCCATGTCGCTGTCACCCGACGTCGGCAGCGCGCCGTTGGTCGCGGCAAACTGGTCGAGCGCCTGGAACGCCACGTGGAGCACCTCGGACCGGCCGATCTTGGCAAAGTCGCTCATGAGAAACTCGCCCGGCGTCTCGGTGGCCACGTCCATGGGCGCAAACGTGAGCGTGACCGGCTGCTTGACCTGCGTGACGTAGCCAAACGCTCCGGACGCCGTCGCCCCGGAAACGTTGTCGATCGTAAACGTGTACGGGCCTGTGACCGTGATCGGCAATGGCGCGCATCCGTTGAGGTGGCCCACGCCTTGGATCTCGCGGAACGTCACATGGTCGCCCGTCTCCATCTGGTGGCGCGCGTCGTCGGTAACCGTGACGAGGAGCTTCGACTCGGTCAACGGCGAGACGGACGCGACCATGCACGTGATCGGCTGCTCGCCGTCCTTGTCCGACACGACAAACGCGTCGCCAAAGTCGCAAAAGACCGACCCAAACACCCCGCGCGCCTCGGTCGCAATGAATGCAATGCTGTGCTTGTGGCAGATCTGGTTGATCTGCGTCGCGTAGGCGCGCGAAGCATTGCAGAGCACGACAACCTACCGCAGCGTGAGACCACATGCAGCATGGACCGTGCGACGTACGCGGAACTGCTCGAGGAAGGCTTCGTCAATGGCACCGACATGGTGGTGCACGGGCACGTACGGGTTGAGCTCGGCGAGCTTGCGCCAGCTGGCCTCGGCGCGGCCGACCTGGTTCTTGACATCGTCTTCGGTAAGGTAGAACTGCGCCGAGAGGTCCATATAGGTCGATGGCGCGTCGTCGGCGACGGTCACCGACTTGACGCCGGCGAGCACGATGTTCTTGGCGATCTCGACGCCGAGCCCATCGAGGTTGAGGAGGAGGACGTTGGACTCGCCCATGCGCGCCTGCGCCTCGTGGCCCATGACGTAGAGCTGCCGGCTGTAGAGCCCCTCGTCGATCGGGGCAGCCATTTCGACCTCTGCTTTACCACGCAATTTCGACACTGACCTGCATTTTGCCCTACGGCATACAAAAACCAAGTGTAATAATTTAAGAAGCTACATAAAAATACGAAATCCGATTCTAGAATAGAATCCTGGGGCGTCGAGATGACGCCGAGAAGCTGCGCCATGACCACGGCCGCGTCCATCGCAGGCCACGGTGCCATCATCCGCGCAAGGAGCGTCCATGGGCCCATGGTGCTATAGCTGCGTCCATGGACGAGCTCGGGAGGACGACGCCATCGTGGCCTCGACGGTCGCTTTGGCCTCTGCATGGCGCTGCTCGCGACAACCACGTCGACCATGGCCTGCTTGGCAGAGGCTCGCCGTGCGCACACGCCTACGTACATGCAAGCCTGCCGCCTGGCACGACGAAGGACGTCAGCACTTCTTTTGTCGACATCATTGCGCAGACCCGCGAGTAGAAGCTCGTGCAAGCGACGTGGGACGAGCTCGAGACGAGGCCAAGGCGCATCGCCGCAGCTCCGCTTGTCCGCGCCGAGGTAGAGCGATGGCATACTTCCTCGTACACCTTCATCAGGAATCAAGTGACACAAGGAGTACGTGTGGCCTTCTTGTCATGAAGTGACCGGCCACGCCATGGCGGTCATCAGACACTGCCACGCGAGAGCGTCCGGGCCAACGACACTCTGAGAGAGAGGAATACAATGCAGTTGCTCGCCGTGGTGCATGCGTCGAGGCATGTCTACCTCGGTGGCGCTGGCACTTCCTGCTTTGACTACGTTGGATCTTCAATCGAGCAGATGGACTTGATGCATGCTCGCCAGTTGGCGTTTTGGCCGCAAAGTGTCCTTTTAAGAGGTCGCAAGTAGCAGAGTCCCAAGTACAGCGCCCGGCCTGAGGCGAGCCACGCTGTGAGGATTGGTAGCCAGCCCTCGCTTGCAAACACATCGTCGACCGCTGCGGTGAGGTCCATGCGCGTGACGTACTGGGCTGCGCCGGCGATGGCAGCGCCCCGCATTCCACTGAGCTCGTCGACGAGACTACGGTTGAGGCCGTTGCAAGGCATGGGAATCCGACACAGGACGCCGTGGCTGGTGTGGTGCAGTTGCGAGGAGACGCACATGGACGTTGTATCCGAAAGTCAGCTTAGCCGAGTGGGCAAGGCGTTAGCCTGCTAAGTTAATGGACTTGATCTTGTGGCTCTACTGGGTTGCAAAATGGATGGTCGCATTCGCCTCGGGATCGCACTGCGCAGGACGTCATTATTGAGCCGGCCAAGATGGTCGATCGAGATGGAGCCAAAGACAACCGGCAGCGCAGCAAGCACCGTCGATGTGTACCGGCCATCGATGGCTTCGATGCAAACCTGCAGCCAGTGGCTGTCCTCCACGGCGCCAGGCGTTCTAACGCGCGTTCGGAGCGTAGCCAGCGGCACGTCAAGTGCATCCCGTGGCTGCGCTTCGAGCAGCGAAAGAACGTCCTTGGTCGACTCCGAGCACTGGGCGATGCGGACGAGGACGCCAGCGTGGTCCATTGAGATCGGCGCAGCACAAGTCTACTGGCTCATGCCCAACATCACCAAGTTGAACCCGCCGTTCTATCCGGATGTAACGCTTGAAAATGCAATTTAGGGGGTTTCAAAGTTCAAAACCCGGTCAACGCCGGCGCCGGCCGCGAAAATTGACGCGATCTGATTGGTCTATTCTTTGTAGCGGGACCAGTTCAGTCGCGCTGGGCCATCCGTCCCGACCGAGATTTCCGTGGCCGGAGCTGGCCTTGGATGATTACATCATCGAGTCATTTTCAAATGGAGGAAGGCGCCAAAACCAAGATGCTACATTGGCACAAGGACGTCTGCGCTGAAGCAACGTGTCGCTGTGGCAAGTCCTCCGTTGCCCTCCTCATCGACTGGCTCACGGTCGACGCCGACGCCGGCTTTCCCAACTATGCGCGATGGAGACGCGGCAGCAAGGCGAAGGCCGGCACGAACAAGATCGGGATTGCAGGCGAGATCTCCTTCGACCTTGTAAAGCACGGCCTCCACCGAAGCGACAAGTCGGTCAAGGCCAAAATTGAAGAGTTGGAGACCAAGTACGGAAATGTGCTCGACAAGTACGGCAGCGGCATCGACGAAGACGAAACCATTCTTGTACGTCCCTCTTGTACTACGTGGTCAGCAAGCCTCAAAACGTCGCGCTCGCTAGGGCGACGTACTTAAATTATGCCCCCACTACAACGAAATCAAGGGTGTTCTTGGCTCTCGCCCACCCGCGCGCCCAGTGCTCTGCTCCTCGAACGAAGACGAGACCCCGGTAACGATGGCATCTCTATCGCGTTTTGCCGATGACGACGACGACGACGACGACGATGACACCGAACACAACGAGTCCGATGGAGGCGACGCGGTGGGCAAAGAGCCGGCAGAAGAGCCGCGCGGCGACGAAGACGCAGCCAGCCCTCGCCCGCAGCCGCCTCCAAGGGACGAGGGCTCGCCACCGCGATCGGTCCTTGCGTCGTGTGCGAGGACGCCTTCGTCCAACTCGTCCGAGAAGGGGCGCGAGAAGCCGTCAGATTCGACCCATACGACCCGGGCACCAGACTCAGCCTCCAAGCCGCCCGCCAAGAAGATCAAGTTGGACAGCGCCCGCAAGACACCGAAATGTATCGCCGAAGGTATGGCATACGGTTTTCAAGATATGTCCGCTGTGACGAAAGGCGCCATCGAGCGCATGTTTGAGAGCCGCTCGGCCGAGCTCGAGTACAAGAAGGCCAAGGACAAGAGAGAGCTCGCGGCCAAGATGACCAAGGATCAAGTCGATCTCGAGAAGAAAGCTCGAGCTCGAGATGAAGAAGTCGGAGCTCGAGATGAAAAAGTCCGATGCGATCGAAAAAACACGGTCTCTGCGTCATGCCGAGATGATGCAGGAAGCAGCTCTCATGCACAAGATGGGCTTTAGTAAAGAGGAGGTCATGGACTACATTCGTAGCAACCGCCAGGACATTTCAAGACCAAACAGTACATATAGAGTATAATGTTGTCGTCGGACCCAACGTGTTGGCGGGTTTTTTCTTCAATTCAGGCGGAAAGAGTGAGTGGAAATGGCACGAGAGACCTTAAAAAGAACGACGTCCAACGCAAGTGGAAAATATGCACACGACCAAGGGCTTGTACACATGTAAGGTCATGTTGTTGTGCTTACGTCGATAGTGAGAACCCTACAGTGAGGTGGGTAAGACGCTCTGGAGGCGTCCAAATGGGCCAGCCGGGTGCGCCAGCGTTGGCGGGCCACGAGCGTCGTTGTTGCCGTTGTCACCGTCGTCCGTCGAGGACCATGTTGTGCAATGTGGCAGCACATCGTATTAAAAGCATCATGGTGATTTTGGCAATATCGCATCACAGTGCGACGCATCGCCAGTCGTTCGTCGGCAAGCGATGACGTTGCAGGACCCGAGTTGATGAGCAGCATCGAAGAAGACGACCATGGAAGCGTCGAGGTCGAGCCAGTTGACGGAAGAGCTGTCAACTGGCAGCCGTTGTGATGAACCAAGATGCGCAAGCAGCCCACGATTGTCCGGTGGCTTGGCGTCCTTCAACTGCTGCGGGCACAGAGCGGCGCTCCCCAAAGCAATGAGCTCCTCACACGACGAACGCGGCACATGCAGTTTTGGACGCGTCGGTTGATGCGCCGCCGCCTCGGTAAGCAACGTCTGCGGACATTGCTGGGATTTTCAGTGGACCTGCTACTAGTATGCTTTTTGATCGGCTCGAATTCGAAATCGTGATCGGGAGCAAAGGCTACTCGACAACGCTCGTCGGTACCAGGTCATGTACCATATGACCTGGTACCGGCTTCGTCGTTGCCGATCCAAGGATGGGGACGTGTGTGGAAGTTGCCTCTCACAGACGGGATTGATGCGATTCAATCCGACATGTAACTACGGTACACAGGTGTAGTGAGGGGTCCTTCAAAGCGACCGGCCAAATACTTGGTACATCAACGGTCGACTTTGAGAGAGGCCATCCCTATCATAGGTAGGCTCCAGGGTACTAGTAGGCTCTTTTGGATCGGGTTGTGCGGTCTGTCGTCAGGTTCGACGCAGCTGTACTCAAAATTATTTACCGCTGGAAAAAGAAAAGGGATTTAAATGTGTTTCTAGAACTGTGTGGTTGTATTGCAATATCGCCATAGCATATAAAATATGACGGTCCCTTTTGATAAAAATATTGAGCAGCGCCGAACCCGAGACGATGCGCGCCGGGTCTGAGAGTCCCTGGAGTATCCACATATACCCCACGCCCTCAGGCCTGGACACGCGGACGGCAGCCCAACCCGTGGACGCTGATACACCGACCCCGAGATGATGCGCGCCGGGTCTTGAAGAGTTTTTGGAATTTCCTGATGGACACCATGCTCTCGGACCTGGACGCGCCCAACCCATGGCACACACGTATGTGATTGGGCAGGTTTTTAGTGAGTATAGCTCTTTTCCTGCCCGAGTGCACGGCTTTTCCTCTCTCGAGGTTTTCCCACTCGAATGCGAGCTAAATCGTCGTAATACACGCGCGTTTTTCAGCGCATCCGCGATATACTCACCGTGTAGCAACATCCCGTGTGTTTGATTGACCTACCCTCCGTTCGTATCGCGAGAAGCAGTATGTACCCGCCATCTATACTTATATACGGCCTGGCAGCGCTAGACCGCCACCGATCTCCCGTCGCTCGGATGAGGATCTTTTCTCCGGATTAGCTCGTAAATCTACTAGTACGTCCAGCACGTCGTCATCGTCCGATTCGTGACGGATATTGCTGCCTCCTCCACTCGCTGGCGCTGGTGCTGCTCACACCACCGCTGTTCGCGATGTAGAGCCTCGCGCTATCACCTTGCCCTATGTACTTTCAAGCATCGACGATGTATGGCCGGTCCCGCGCCTCCACCGCGTGGCCATAGTGCTAATCGATAGCGTGGCCGGTGCGATGCGCGTGTTTGTTGCCGTCGGCATGGACGACCTCGGCAGTTGTCCGCGGCCTGCCGTCGCCAAGTGGACGACCAAGGTCAAGTACTTGGCGCTTCAATCAATCAAACGTGTTCGCGTTGAAATCAAATTAGCACAAAAACTAACTCAAAGTCTTTCGCATACGTAGTGCTACGCCCGAATGCGTGGGAGTTGGCACCAGCACTTGGTCGTTGGAAGTGAGCTGGGCACTTGCCGCTTGGGCAGACAATTCGCTTTCCGTGGTTTATCAGGAGACGTCTGCTCCTGATCGTCTACGCTTGCGGTAGAAGGCTTCCCTGAGTGTTTGCATGGACGATCTTTCTTACAGCCAGACCAATGTATTTTGCCTGTCGAGCTAGAAGGTCCATTCCACGGGCGAACCGGAGGAAAGACTTGGTTGTTGCGGACAAGCAGTGCGGCGCACGCATGCCACTGGATAGCGACGTCGAGTCGTCCAGACCGCTGGACCGCCACCAGCGGCTCGAAGAAGACGCGTAGCAGAGCCTTTGACGACGTCCGTTTCATTCAGCTCCACAGCATCCTCGACATTCTTGACAGTACTATCTCCAGCACTGACGCTAATATATGTACTCGTATAGTACATAGTACTACTAGTAGTACATATATTAGCGTCAAGTGCTGGAGATAGAGTATACACTAGCAATGTGCTCGCCGAGAAGTACCGGTACGGTAGTTTGCCTAGCGCCATGACACACGCTCCGTGATCGCATCCTTCCATCGACCACTCGAAGCTCCCAACCACTGTTGTCGTGTCCTGCGTGGCGTACAGAACTCACAGCCATGGGCAGTGCTTCGACTCTCTTCGCCACAAATGGCCGCAGAGAAGGTGAGAGGAGTGTGTGAGAGGCTAACGGCCACAGTGTTCGGTCCGTCGGTTGTCCTACACTGTATTACGTACTGTCTGTTTCACTAAAGAACATCTGCTGAGACGTTTCGTATGTTTTGTGGATGCGTCCTCAGCCGTTCATAAAGCCGCTACTGTAATAGGCATCACATGCATATACCGATGCAGAATCGAAAAGAGATCCATGCTCACATGAGATTACCGCGGAAATGACAGACGACCCGGTACATTTAACAACATTGACGATACTATTAGGCACGACCCTCATTTTGTAGCATGTATAGCCTTGTTCGGTTTCCATCACGGATCCCAAGTCCATTGGCTCAGTTCCTACCTTTTGCATCGGCAAGTAACACGAACACCTCTGCAGTCTGCAAGGTTGCATCCATAGATATATTTTGCATCGCTGGACGCGTGTCGGTTGATGCGAGTAATTCCATGTCCTGGCTCACTGATCACAGCGCCGTGTCCTGCTCTCTTTCGGGTGCTTTTAGGTAAGACAGTGCAGATTGACAAGAAGCCGTGGCCTGTTTGTCAACGCGCGTCCTACTTGCTTTGCAAGTCATCACAGACACATTGCATCGGTTGCGACATGCGGCAATCCGGCCCCGTGACAGGTCGCAAGCGGCGTGGGGGCGCGTGCCCGAGACATGTGGCGCGTGCTTTCAATCGTATGTCTCTACGCGCTTGATGTGCATTGCGTGTGTAACGACTCCAATCCTGTCCCCGTCAACAGCAATTCAATGTCGTCAGGTGCTTCAGAATGGCCTGTCGGTGATCATCTTTCGCCTCATTTTCCAATTCCTCTTCTTCGACAACGATGAAGGCTGCTCTCTTCTCCGCCACGCTCGTTGCCAGCGCACTCCTCTCGGCCGCCGACCACGACGGCTGCGGCTCGGCCACCGGCTCCCCCACGATGGCTCCCACGTCGGCCCCGACGACGCTGGCGCCGACGGCCGCGCCCACCAAGGCGCCCGTGCCGGGTGAGTGGGTGAACCTCGGCGGCTTTGCCCACGAGATCTCGTTCGACGGCAAGAACGCCTGCGTCAAGACGGGCGACGGTGCGTTCTGCGGCCTCCCGACGCAGCCGTTCACGCAGTGGAAGAAGGTGGCGACGACCGTC